ATATATATTAGAAATGATTTGCAAAATATTTGAACACCTTGACTTAAAATATTTTATTCATCATGTTAAAATAAAACGTTCCATAATCAATTTTTTTCTTCTTCTTTTTTCAATTTTTCCAATTTTTAGGAAAAAAACAAAAAGGCTTCAGGAAAAAAATGGGGGGGGGAAACGTCCCCCCCCCCGAATTTTTACAGTTTTTTTCCAGGCCTTCACATCTCTAGGAAGGAGGGCTCCAGAGCAAACTGATTTCTGCAGCAGCCAAATCGCTCGTCCACAACTTTAATGCCAGCAGCTCACCAAGTAGAATTTTTGCTCACAAGACTCCACGGCTTAGGGGGAGCCTTGGTATAGAGGGAGGCTTAAGAACATAAGAGAAGCCAAGGTTGGATCAGGCCAATGTCCCATTCAGTCCACCCCAAGCACCAAGAAGACAGAGCATCCCTTGCCCCAGACCAAGAGTTCCCATCTATACCTTGTGGGCCACTGATGGACCTCTGCTCCATGAGTTTATCCAATTCCCTCTTGAAGCTGTCTGTACTTGTAACTGCTACCACCTCCTGGGGCAGTGAATTCTATGTGTTGATAACTCTTTGGGTGAAGAAGTTTGGTGTAGTGTTTGAGTGGAGGACTCTAATTTGGGAGAACCAGATTTGATTCCCCACTCCTCCACATGCAGCTGCTGGTGTGACCTTGGGTCAGTCACACATTCTCTCAGAGCTGTTCTCTCAAGGGCAGTTCCTGAGAGAGCTCTCTCAGCCCCACCTACCTTACAGGGTGTCTGTCGTGGGGAGGGGAAGGGAAAGGAGATTGTAAGCCGCTCTGAGACTCCTTTGGGTAGTGAAGGGCGGGGTATAAATCCAATCTCCTCCTCCTCTTCTTCTTTTATCCATTCTAACCTGACTGCTCAGCAATTTCATTGAGTGCCCACGAGTTCTTGTATTGTGAAAAAGGGAGAAAAGTGCTTCTTTCTCTACCTGCTCTATCCCGTGCATAATCTTATAAACATCGATTGCGTCACCTCTCAGTCATCGTTTCTCCAAGCTAAAGAGCCCCAAGCGCTTTAACCTTTCTTCGTAGGTTTTTAGGGAAAGTGTTCCAAACCTTTTATCATTCTAGTTGCCCTTTTCTGTACTTTTTCCAATGCTGTAATATCCTTTTTGAGGCTTGTACATTAACAGCCTTGAGAGCTCAGTGGCGCCTGGATGCTCAGAGGCAGTGTGCTTGTGAATTATAGTTGTTATTTACAGATGTCCAAAGAGAGTGAACTTTTTTTCTTTTTTTAGTGTTCTAGTTGACTTTTTAATGCTGAATTTTAAGTAATGATATATTTATGTTTTATTGCGGAAGCCACTCAAGGCAGGTTCCCCAAAGAAGTGGCCTGAGATTTTTTTAAAATAAGTAAATAATTTTTAATAGATAAGTTTGTACCTATGAATTCACATGCATAGATGCTAGTATCTGAAAGACACAGTTTTGAACTCCCAATCTACTAGCTTGCTAGGTGATCTTGGGCCACACACATGCTCTGCCTAACCTACCTCACAGGGTTGTTGTGATGATGATGAGGAGAGGAGGGCCATGTAACCTGCTTTGTCCCACTGGGAAGTGAGGTGGGGTATAAATGAAGTAAATACACAATTTAAATATAAATATAGCTCCAGATGTCCTCTTTTTAGAGGACATATCTTTGTGTGTGTGTGTGTGTCCGCCCTCTTTTGGGGGTCTGTTTTTAAAAAACTGATGAAAATGTCCTCTTCTGGAGTTGGAAGGTTAGGAATATTCCTAGTTAGTAGCAATTTGTTGTTGTTGTTCAGTCACACAGTCGAGTCCGACTCTTCGCGACCCCATGGACCAGATCACCCCAGGCCTTCCGGTCTTCCGCCGTCCTCTGAAGTTTGCTCAACTTCATGTTCGTTGCGTCTATGACACTGCCTAGCCATCTCATCCTTTGCCGTCCCCGTCTTCTTTGACCTTCAGTCTTTCCCAGCATCAGGGTCTTCTCCAGTGAGTGCTCCCTTCTCATTGGGTGGCCAAAGTATTTGAGCTTCAGTTTCATTATCTGGCCTTCCAGGGAACAGTCAGGGTTGATTTCTTTTAGGATGGACTGATTTGATCTCCTTGCAGTCCAAGGGGCTCTCCAGCACCATAGTTCAAAAGAATCTATTAGGCCTTCCTTACAGTCCAATTCTCGCAGCCATACATGACTACTGGGAATACCATTGCTTTGACCATGCGGACTTTTGTGGGCAGGGTGATGTCTCTACTTTTTATCATGCTGTTTAGGTTAAATAGTCGGGGAATTTAAAGTGAGATTCATCATAGTGATCTCTTGTTTGTAGCAGTCAGTTGGGAAATGTTTCTTTTTCTTTTTTGCTTTTCAATAGAGGGTAGCCGATGCTCCCTCTAAGCTGTGGAGTCCTGTGAGCAAAAATTCTACTTTTGTGAGCTACTAACATTAAAGTTGTGAACAGGCAGGTGGTTTGGCTACTGCATAAATTAGTTTGCTCTGGACTGGAGCCGTCCTTCCTGAGTCAAGACAAAAATGTGTGAGCCGGAGGGTAAAAAGCTGTGAGCTAGCTCACACTGACTCAGCTTAGAGGGAACACTGATGGTAGCCCTAGCTCACTGTAGTGGTGTCGCCTCTTCCTGGGGCATCAGGGGCAGCTCAGCTCCTTGAGTTACAGCCTGTCATTCAAATCTTTACAAAAAGCTGCTTCAGGAAGAAAACAAAAGTCTTCAGGAAGAAAAAAAAAGTCTTCAGCCAATTTGACTGGACATTTTCCTTTAATTATTTTGATGAATATCGTTTTAACGTTTTGTTGTTACTATTTTCTAAGCTACCCTGGGCAGGTTCCTGGGAAGGCAGCAGGTTCCTGGGAAGTCAGGACCCTCAGCAACAATGGAAGCACACACTTGCAAGAAGGTTTTACTTTGTTGAAGCTGGAGATGCATGGACAGGAACACTGTTAGGAATGAGGGGTGAACTATGCGCAAAACATAGTACATTCATATGAGCATTACCCAATTACTATGGTTCCCGCGCGCGCCATCAGGCTTGGGAACTAACTGCAATCCAAAGCAAAACAGGTACCAGCGTCCCACGGTTCTGCCTGCCTAAAGCAAAAGCAGTGATCTAAGCGACTCCTCCAACGGCCTTGAGAGATACGCAGTGCAGCTTACAGGAGAACGGCAATTAGCCATAGGGAAAGGTATGTGCATCTGGGCATAGGAAGGTATGCGCATGGGCAACAGGAAAAACCATTTTGGCAGCTTGCTGACACATACACATTTTCAAAGTAAATAAATTCTGAATAAACAAACAAGAACCTGGACGTTTCTGAGGTCAAAAGATGACTGTCTACTGAAGAAGACGCTTGCTACCCCACACTACTGTGGACGCTAGACGCCGGGAAACAAGCAGCGGACTGGGGGAGAGAGCTGCTGCCATTCTCGTGGCTGCTCTGGAGGCATCTGGCTGGCCATTCTGGGAAACCAGATGCCGGCTTGGATGGATCTGTGGTGTTTTTGGGGGTTTTTTTTTAGCCCCCGGAGGGGATTTTTTATTATTTTTTATCAAACTACAAAACTACTACAGAAAAAAGGGAAGGTTTTTTTTTACATCTATAGGATAAAGCAAAAGAACCCACTACTAACTAAAAACCCAAGAGGAGGAGATCTTCACTAGCTTAGTTACAGCAAATCTTCACTTCACTTAGATTATTATAAACTGAGTCAAACATTTGTATTGCTTTCTTTTTCTTTAACTCTTAAACGTAACTGTCTAGAAACAGTACCCCCCCCAATCATCCCCTTTCAGAGTTCTCAAAGGCACAATTCAGAGTCCTTCAGCCTTCACTTCTCCTTTCCTCGTCTCTTCCGCAGCTTATAAGGACTTTTTGGGGCAGCTGCCCCTTGCTCTGTCAGAGAGTCCTCCCCAGAAGAACCCGAGTCCAGCTCGCCACTAGACTTGCTGTCCTCTTCTTTTTTCCCGTCCTCTGGTCTTAATTCTGGATGTAAGCTGTTGTGTGCAAGCTTATTCCCAGAATTAAAGTTTGTTGGTCTTAAAGGTGCCACTGGACTCAAACTTTGTCCTGTTGCTTCAGACCAACATGGCTACCCACCTGAATCTCTCAGTTTGGGATTTCTAGCATAGATTTCTCTCCACCCTCAGGATTCTCAGCACCCTCATAAAACTATAAAACCTGCGATACTCTGGAAGCAGCCGTGATACACAACTTTTAAAAAATCTACCTTCTGAAAACAAGTGATGGGCCAACTTCTCCTCAGTTTAATGCATATTTGTTCAGAAAATGCAACATGTAGGTTTACAAACCATCTGATCTCAAACATGTTTTTTTCTGAGGAGTAATCTTTTTGCTGAAATGCTGTTCATGCTTAGTTTGAAGCAGGGGTCATTTCCTGCAGGAGCGCAAAGGAGCGGAGCTCCAGCAGTAAAGAGCAGGGGGTGGGCACATGCAACAAGCCCCACCTCCTGCTCCCAGCAGCCCTCAGTCAGAGCAAGAAGCAGCCAGGTAAGTTGCAGAGCCCCCCCCCCAGTCCAAAACAGTCCAGTAGCACCTTTAAGACCAAGTTTTATTCAGGTACAAGCTCTCTCTCCTCTGAGGACAAACCGCCACCCCCCCCCCCCCCGATAGCTAGCAATCCAAAACAGTCCAGTGGAGCCTGAGCGGTGGGTGTTGCTTTCTGACACACTTCCGGTGATATTAGGGTGTGTGGTATATGCAAACAAGTTATGCTAATGAGTTATGCTAATGAGCTCCTGCACCTGTTTTTCGACGACATGACCCCTGGTTTGAAACAATTTGCGATTCAAAGAAATCCAACTGATACCCAGGTAATGTGGCTAGGAATGGGCTGTAAGAATAATTGTACTTTTGAAAATACGTGTACAAATTTTTTTTATGCTTGTCTTTAGCAATGTGTTTGATTTCAAACAAAGAGTAGGAAATATTTTCTGTTTTTCTGTAGTCTATACAATGTCTTCAGTATCACCTGCAGCAATATCAGTTTCAACACGGCCTTCTGATGTGTTCACCGCCAGGAGAACAGAATCCAGTGATATTCCTACTATCATCCATCACGTCAACTATACGACAGAAAGATTGTTTGGCAGGATTAATGTCATTTATCTGTTGTAAGTAACATAGCTGTGATAAAGTCACTCCTGGAACTGTTTGAGGTGTGTGTGTGTGTGTGTGTGTGTTATTGTTCTAAAACTGAATGAAATGAACCTCTGTTTTACAGAGAAACAGCTAATCTTGCAGTGACCTTAATCAACCAGAAGAATGCAGCTGTTGCTCATGCCTTATTTCTGGACTATCCCAACTGGAATTGTGTTGATCCGGCCTACTGGGAAAACGCCATACAAAAAAGCTATAATGAGGGCAGGTGCACGGTAAGTAGGAAACATTTTTCTCTTCACATTTTTAATTTCCGGTGCCTTTGCTACTGTGTGTCTTTGATGCAGGAAATAGACAAGGCCAAACTACAAACCACTTGGAAAAACTTCATTCCCTTTTACGTGTATTAATGGTGTGTTATATGAAGATGAATACAGAAGAGTAGTTTTCCCCCCCAATGCAGCTTGTTTCACTTTCATGCTGCAGTCCTAGGGTTTCCTTCTCAAACTTCTCTTGGAGAATGAAGAATGCACCATTTTGACTGACTTGTATAAGCACAGAATGCATCCTTGAATGCCTTAGAAAATCTCTGTTCTATTGGCTTTGATTCCTAGGGAAATATCTGTGCTCTGTTACTTGACATGGAAAGGATTTCATGGTCTTAGGAGAACTTAGGAGAAAGAAAACCTATGGAACTGTAGGTTCGAGAAGTTTTCTTTTGTCCCAGATCCCGGCTGCCTGTTATAATCTAGTCACGTGAAACCTGGCTATGTGTCAGCCAGGCTTGAATTGCTGAGAATTCAAAAGGCTTCCTGAGACAGGCAGAGAAAGCTGGAGGGGCTGTTGAGCAATGGAGAGGCACCATGGGTTTGTTCTTGCTCATTGAAACCAGGCTGCAACCTGACACCAGAGGCACCAGTGTGTAGCTGCTTACCCACCAGCATTGAACACAGGGAGATGGTGGCACCAAAAAGCCTTAAAACCACAGTTTTCTTTTTACCTATTTCTCTTCCCCATCCTCTTTTTATTTTGTAATTCAAAGTCTGATTGAGGAGTTGTGGAGAACTTGAAAGATTGCACACTGTTTCATATCATTTTTGGTCGGTTGAAATAAAAGGTATTATGTCGCTTTGTACTTTGTCGAGCAACTGGTCCCCTTTCAGCCTTCTGTTTTTATCTTTGCTCATTTAAAGAGCTAATTTTCCATAGCAGCTGCTAGTGGGAGGAATACAAACAATTAGCTGCCAAGGTGAGAAGAGAGGTAGAAAATGAACAGAGGAAACTGGCCCAATACTCAGTCATCCTTTTCCCGCTTTCTGTGCCTGTCTTCAGGGAAGGGGAGGAGAGTCCTCAGAAATCTCTGCCTCAGAGTCTGGTTTACACAAGAGTGCGTCACATCAGCTATTAAATTTACCGTTTGCCACTTGGACCTAAGCTCTTCGCTCGCCCTCAGCAGCATCATTCAAGAATTCAGCTGGGTAGATGCAGACAGGTTTCCTAATTTTTTTGATTGATACTGTGTAGAGGCATTTTCAGAGCAATTGTCTTCTTGCCATTAGGGTCTGGACTTTAGAAGCTGGATAATTATTTCAGTGCAGTCAAGAAGAGGCGTGGCTTGGGGGAGAATAAAACACAAGTTCAGTAGCCCCTTATAGACGAACATTTATTTCAAAGTTAAAGTCCAATGGCACCTTTAAGACCAACAAAGTTCACTGCCACAGGAAGTGGTGGCGGCTACAAGCATGGGCGGCTTCAAAAGGGAATTAGATAAGCATATGGAGCAGAGGTCCATCAGTGGCTATTAGCCACAAGGTATAGATAGGGGCTCTGGGGCTAGGGATGCTCTGTCTTCTTGGTGCCTTACAATTATTTATTCACGCGGGACTAACAATGATTTATGGGGGTAAGGGAGGACAACATATATCTTTTAAATCACACACATTCACAGTTGGCGAGGGCTTGTTCAGCTGTGGGTCAGACGTGTTCCGTTGGCATATTCACTTCGGCTTGGCTAGATGACGTCAGCTTCTCCAGGTCTTGCAGCGCCACACTGCCACCACCTGGCCAGAATGACCCATTACTGGCTTCTCGGAGTCAATGAGATTTTATCTTAGGGTTTCAATCTTGTGAGCTGAGCATTCCGGTCGCTGGCTAACACCTCCCCCACCGGGGTGGGTGGGTTTTGGTGTGCCCGCCCTCTCTAAGGAGTGGTACCCATTTTATCTACTCGCTGAAGCTTTCGAACCGCTGGGTGGATGGCGAGCTAGGGACAAGGCTGGTAGCTCACACCATTATGGGGCTAGAACTGACAGCCGTACTGTTCAGCTCAGATGTTACTAACCAGAGGATAAATCCTCTGTGCCACCGCTTCTAGTCTCCCGGCCCCACTGCTGGACCTCCTGATGGCACCTGGTATTTTTGGCCACTGTGTGACACAGAGTGTTGGACTGGATGGGCCTTTGGCCTGATCCAACATTGGCGTCTCTTATGTTCTTATGAATTGGATCAACATATGGAGCAGAGGTCCATCAGTGGCTATTAGCCACAAGGTATAGATAGGGGCTCTGGGGCAAGGGATGCTCTGTCTTCTTGGTGCTTGGGGGGGGGCAACAGCGGGAGGGCTTCTAATGTCCTGGCCCCACTGGTGGACCTCCTGATGGCACCTGGTATTTCTGGCCACTGTGTGACAGACAGAGTGTTGGACTGGATGGGCCTTTGGCGTCTCTTATGTTCTTATGTTCTTATTCAAGGTGTGAGGGCACACGAAAGCTCACACGTTGAATAAAACCTTGTTGGTCTTAAAGGTGCCATTGGACTCTAACCTTGTTCTGTTGCTTCAGAACAACACGGCTGCCCACCTTGATCCAACATTTATTTCAGTATGAGCTTCCATGAGTCACAGCTCACTTTATCAGTAGGCTGTGACACACAAATGCTCATATTGAAATAAAAGGTTGTTCGTCTCTAAGGTGCCCCTGGACCTTTCTTTTATTTTGCTATAACAAACCAACACAGCTGCCACTTTAAAATCATTTAAAGAGACAGCCTTGCTTTTGGGGGCAGTGGAGGAAACCTGTATGCAGTAAAACCACTAGTAATAAAAAATTTAACTATTTTATATAAGTTTTTATTACTAGAAGCAAACAGGAGTGATATGGACCAATGCAAACCATTGACTTCCATTAACTTAGAAGGGTGCAGCCGTGTCTCGAATGGGATGCAAAGTAAGAAAGAGGAATGGGATATCTTCAAACGATAAATGTGTGTACATACATGTTTATTCATCGTACTAAAAAAGTTGTGAAGCTACTCTGGGGGTGCAGTGAGAGAAGGAGAGAAATGTGTCTCTTGGCTCCAGTGATGTTCTCAGCACATGCATCTTTGGATTCATTGTTTTATTTTCCAGAGGAAGGAAGAACTGAATTTTCCTCAGTTCAGCTTGGAATGTTCCAAAACCCTGAGGAAAAAACCCAAAGGAACCACAGGCAGGGGTGGGACAGGAAAAAATGTTCATCTGAATCAGCATCTGAAAAATGGCCTTTTCAGTCTATGCCTACTGTTATGAAAATAATAATAATAATAATAATAATAATAATAATAATAATAATAATAATAATAATAATAATAATAATAATACCTTTCGAATTATTGATTGCTCAATCCTGCAGGGCTGCTGGCTCTGAGCGATTTACAGTTACACAGGTTTTCACAAGGGACTAACAATGATAGGGGTAAGGGAGGACAATATATAATTCTTTAAATTGCACACGTATGCAGCCGACGGGGATTTTGTTCAGCTGTAGGCTTCAGTCGTGTTCCGGGCGGCATTCATTTCGGCTTGGCTTGATGACGTTAGTTCTTCCTGGGCTGGCTTTGAGTCATAGCACCGCACTGCCACCGCCTGGCCGGATTGGCCCATTACAGGCTTCTTGATGCCGAAGAGGTCTTTTTTCCAGGCTTACGAGCTGGACATTCCATTCGCCGGCTAACACCTCCCCAATGTGGGGTTTAGTGTGCCCACCCTCTCTAAGGAGTGGTACCCATTTTATCTACTCGCCAAAGCTTTCGAACCGCTGGGTGGACGGCGAGCTGGGGACAAGGCTGGTAGCTCACATCAGCGTGGGCTAGAACTGACAGCAGCTCTGTTCAGCTCAGATGTATTAACCAGAGGATAAATCCTCTGTGCCACCACTTCCCTTATTGGTTTATTCATCAATACCCCAACTTTCTTGCCCAGTGGGGACCAAAACAACTTATGTTGTTCTCCTCTCAACCATTGTATCCTTACAACAGCCCTGTGACTCAGGTTAAGCTGAGAATGTGTGACTGGCTTCTCTGGTCTGAGTCTGACACTCTAATCACTGTGACGTACCGGCTGTATGCAGCCATTGTCTGTTGAGACGTGTGTGAATCACACACGCAGGTTGCTGGGAAGGGTTGTTTGTACTGACAAAACATGCATGCATCCAGTCAGTTTGTATTACCTTTCTTTGTTACGTAGTTAATGGGTTTAAAAAAAAAAAAAGATTATCCCTCAGAACAATACAATTGTAAATTTGTGTAAATTGTGCTTCAGAACAAACATGCAAAATGCTATTCAGATATTTACTGGCTATCTAAATATTGCTTCCAACACGGAATTTATGGGCAGAGGGATCTGTTGGGCTTAAACCTTCTTCTACCAGCCCCTCCCCCCTGTAATTGCTCCCTCTAGCTTCCCCCCACACAGACGAGCGGGAAACCTGGCCTCACAGTCAACTTGGGGGAACAACAGTTGTAGATATGCGGATGGCAGAGAAGAAGCAACAGCAGGTAGGAGGGTTAAGTGCACATAACCCTTCTGTCTGCTGCTTCTTGCTGTGGACATCATAGGTGGACTTCGGAGTCCTTTCCGCACTTGGATCTCATCCCCGGTTTTATCAGAGTTCAACTCGCGACACAAGACCTTGCATTTACCTCTGGTTATAAAGCATCCATTTATCCTGGGACAAGTCTGGGGCAAAACCGGGGTGACCTCCATGTAATGTGGAAACAAAAAATACCCCGAGATAATTATAGGGGTGAACTCGAGTGTAGTGTAGAATGTAAAAAATACCCTGAGATAATTAGAGGGGTGAACTCGAGGGGAGTATAGAATGTATGTTTAGGCAAAGGGTTGAACCAGGATTTAAGACCTAGTGCGGAGTCACCCAGAATTTCATGTTCGCTCCTAAGCATGGTCCTTGTCCAGCAGCTCCTTGGCTGTGAGCTGTCCCTGGTGCTGAAGTGAACAATGTGCTGCTCCCAGGAGTTGTGTCTGCACTGGAGCTCTACAGGATTGATCTGCAGGTGCTTGTCCTTAATTTAGCCATGGCAAGACACTTCCCCGAGTGTGAGATTTGTACATATAAATAATTTTATCTGTGTCACAGGATCAGCACCTATGGTAAATGGCAGTTTCATTTTCTGAAATGGTTGCTTGAATTTCTTTGCATCTTCTGTTCACAGCCTTTGAACACACTGTTTCTGCATCTGTTTGTGGCAATGGATGAACGTGCAGTTCACTGTTCTCATGAAATTATGAAGTGAGTTGATATGTTACCGAATATGGCGATGTTTGTGGAGAATCTGACAGGCAGATACTTAAAACGAAAAACCAAGGCTGCAAACCAGCATATTTTTATAAGGCCCTTTCAAGTCAGTTGTTCGCTGGATTGTAGCAAATGCGTGGTTCAGTTCACACTTGCAAGTTCTTGTACTCAGCAAGCAAGGGATGATGCATAGATACAAGGCCACTTGGCTCTGATTTAATTCTCATAGGCTTGTTAACCAACACTGCGTAATGTAGCTGCTGGTTCCAAGTAAGTGGGCTAAGCTTGAGCACTCATTTGTAGGATTCTTGGACTAGATTTTGAACTAGAATTTGTAGGATTCTTGGACTAGATTTTGAACTAGAATAGCCTTTTGGCAGACCCACTTCAAATTTTGCACGTGAGAGCCGTTCAGTAGGATTGCTGTTATTTTAAGTTAGGGTGTCAGGATAGTGTGTTGAAACACAACCTGGAATAAAAGTCTTGAAACATTCAAAAAGGGCTGTAGGAATTAACCTTAAGTGAATCTGAACCAATCTCTTTTCTTAACAACACCATGGATTCCCCCAAATAAAGAACAGCCACTTTTATGTTTAATGCAAGGTGTCTGGAAACATTTCTTAGTGTGAAAGTACCAGGGATGTGTAATATCCGGATTCTATCTATTTTGTTTGCAGCAGCCTCCTGTAGCTTTGTTTGATACTGGGCTTGTCTTTTAGATCCTGCATTCTAGTGCGCACACCTAAGATTTTAACAGGGGTTAAGAACCTAACCTGACAATGGTACTACTATCTTGATGAACTGTGGGTTGGCTTATTTAAGAATGTATATACTGTCCCTCCAGAGATGTGCTTGAGGTGGTCTGCAAGTGAAAAAAATACCATAAAATCATTGTAAAAAAACCAACATAAATTGTCAATATTAAAAACAAGGCAGGGGCATGAAAACAGCAGAAAACGGCTACCAAGCAGCCTAAAAAAAAGCTGTAGAACCGGAGAAAGCAATTGCTTTCCTCGGGATGCAGTAGAATTGTTTAATCAAACTGATCAATCCATTTGGGTGAACTTGATTTGGAAGCAGCCTTGAGTGGGCAAGATTCATGTTCTTTCTAAGGAAGAGGAGGAGGAGGAGGAGGAGGAGGAGGAGGAGGAGGAGATTGGATTTATACCCCGCCCTTCACTTGGAGTCTCAGAGCGGCTTACAAACTCCTCTCCCTTCCCCTCCCCACAACAGACACCCTGTGAGGTGGGTGGGGCTGAGAGAACTCTGACACAAACGGCTCTTTTTCAAGGACAGCTGTGCCAGAGCTTGTGACTGACCCAAGGTCACATCAGCAGGTGCGAGTGGAGGAGTGGGGAATCAAACCCGGTTCTCCCAGATTAGAGTCCGCACACTTAACCACTACACCTAACCCCCAGTTTAATAGGGAAGTGGTAGATGTGACACATGGTTAAGCATATGCATAATTCTTACTTTATCCAGAGGCCAGGTTTGTTTTCCACAAGTCCCCTTCTGGAACCGCCTCATTTCTGCCTGGTTTCAAGAACTGAGTATTTTTTAAAAAAATAATAATTCACAACATAAAATTAAGCAAGATAATCTAAAGTTTTACAAGTAAAAATGCCAACCTGTTTACCCTAACTTGTTGACTATGTGGATTTAAAATGGATGATTCAGGGATGGAAAAGATTTTTTTGAAGCCTAATTGAAAAATAGCATTGTTTGTTTGTTTTAATTACATGTAATATTTTAATCCAGGACTGTCTTTATAACCATACCAGAACTGCACTTCATACTTCTCTTCGTACCAAGTCAAGAGAATTTAGGTAAGGCTGCTCAAAATCCATTCCCTCCCCTAACAGTCTTCTTATTTGTGAGGAAAAGATAAAAAAGGACCCAGTTGAGCTTATTCCTCGAGGGGACAAAAGTCTGGGGAAAAGTACTGCAGAATACCCTGTAATAGGAGTCTTTCTTTAGGGGTTGGTAGTGGAAGGTATGTCGATCATTTATTTCTTGAAATTGCTGGTGCAAATATGTGCGCGGGCACTTGCTGCAGTGTATTCTTGGAAGTTGTATAAGAGGTTGTCAGCTGACCCATCTCCTGGTTCCAGTGGTAGGTCTGGACCATAGTTCTAAAGCAACCAGAGGGGGGGGGTACACATGATACATGAATCTGCCTTACTCTGAGTCAGACCACTGGTCTGCTGATGTCAGGAGCTTTGGGGAGGGGCCATGGCTCGGTGGTAGAGCATCCGCTTGGCATGCAGAAGGCCCCAGGTTCAATCCACAGCAAAAGGGTCAGGTAGCGGAGGCAACAGCGATGGCGGCGGCAGCGGCGGCGGCAATGGAACAGTAATGGCGGAGTGAAGTGTTGGAGCGGCTGAGGAGTGTCCGGCGAGTGCAGCGTGAGTCCGGCAGGGTCGGAGCCACAGAGGTGCGGCAGCACGGCGGCGTAGCGCGACAGAGCCAGAAAGGACGATAGTTGGAGCTGCGGTGGCCGCGGGGCGCGCACCGGAGGAGCCCCGCCGAGAGAAGGAGCCGCGGAATCAGGAGAAGATCTGCCCCGGGACACGGAAGGAGAGCGCCAACATCTGAGGCCGCCAAAGAAGGCCAAACATCAGCAAGAGGTGCTGGTAGGAAGCCACCCCCCCTCATGATTGTGGCCTTAGTTAGGGAACAAATAATTGTGTAATTCGCTCAGAGACCCCTCGGGGTTCGAGCGGGATACAAGCCGAAAGCACAAATAAATAAAATAAATAGGAAAGGCCTCAGCCTGAGACCCTGGAGAGCTGCTGCCAGTCACAGCAGGCTATACTGACCTTGATGGACCAGTGGCCAAACTCAGTATAAGGCAGCTTCATATGTCAGTCTCGTCTGCTCTGACTGCCGGTGGTTCTCCACGGTCTCTGGTTGAGGTCTTTGCCATCGGTTGATGCCAGGAATTAAACCTGGCACCTTCTACATGGCAAGCAGGTGCTCTCCCAGTGAGCCACGGCCCCTTCTCTTACAATGCTTCCTGTATGTACAAAGTACTTCACATGTATCATGTTGTCATCCTTGCAATAATCCTTTGATCATTATCCCTATGTAGCAGTTTTGGAACACAGGCTGAGAAATGAATCCATAGCTGAGGTGAAATTTTAAGTGGGGATTTCTCAGTTCACTTTCTTAGCCACTGCTCTGTACTCACGCTTAATGCATAATCGGGTTGTAAGCAGTGTTCCCTCTAAGCTGAGTTAGTGTGAGCTGACTCACAGTTTTTTAGCCTCCGGCTCACATTTTGTCTTAGATCAGGAAGGAGGGCTCCAGAGCAGACTAATTTATGCAGTAGCCAAATTGCTCGCTCACAACTTTAATTCCGGTAGCTCACGAAGTAGAATTTTTGCTCACAAGACTCTGCAGCTTAGAGGGAGCATTGGTTGTAAGTATTGCTGTCATTTATTAATGGTAGTGTTAATGTGCTAGAAATCTGCCTGACATCCATCTAAATTACCAGCAGGCTTGTGGGAATACATTGGCAGAAATTCTTGTACAATGAAGCTTATTGGGCTAAGTGGTGGATTATAAGAAAAATGAATGCAGACTTTAAAGCTGTTCAGATTACATTGGGCAAATACAAAATATAAAACTTGAGCAAAATATCGGAACAGCCTGAACAGTCAGTGCTTTAGTTTGATATTTTATACCAAGAAATGGTAGTGTTGGTGGGGGAATACATCATTGATAAATTTGCATGCTGCACGAAAACAACTTTCTAATAGTAACCATTTATCCCATAGAGTCACTGTCAAGAGGGGTGTGAAGCAGCATTATATTTTGGTTCCTTTGCTGTTTAATTTCTGTATAAACTCCATGATGTAAGTCTTGTATCATTCAGACTCCATCCACCTAAATTAGTGAACAGATTGATTCCCACATAATTATAGGCAGATGATACAGCTAGTTACGAACTACGGCTCATAAAGCACCCAAAGTGCTCTTACAGCATTCTGTAAGAAGGAGCAGTTAACAATTATCTATTAAAACAAGAAGAGGAGGAAGAGGAGATTGGATTTATACCCCGCCCTTCACTCGGAGTCTCAGAGCGGCTTACAAACTCCTTTCCCTTCCCCTCCCCACAACAGACACCCTGCGAGGTAGGTGGGGATGAGAGAGCTCTCTCAAGAACTGCTCTTTCAAGGATAGCTCGTCAGAACTATGGCTTGCCCAAGGTCATCCAGCAGCTGCAAGTGGAGGAGTGGGGAATCAAACCCAGTTCTCCCAGATTAGAGTCTGCACATGTCAGCTCAGATGCGGTGTCACCTGACGCTGCCACCACTCTGGTACCAGGCTCCCTTGAGAAGGCCCAGAGCACCCTCCCAAGACCTTCTGACCTCCCTTTTGGCCGAATAACAGGCGTGAGGACCAGGCAGAGTGAACAATGAAAATAGTTTATTGTATAGGAGGTCAAACAACAAGGTGCAGAATAAGAACAGTAAGTGGGTGAAAATAAAAGAAATCAAATGCCTTGACGCGTCTAAATATATACTGTCCCTAGCTCACTATCCCAAATGGTACTAGACTACTCACCCTTCTCTCAGGATGAGGGTCTCTTCCCTGCAGCAGTCTTCCTTCTGGCTCTGCCCTCTGGGAAGAAGAACAGCTTTTCCTGCTGCTCCATCTTATTCCAAGCCCTCCTCTTTTCCTATTGGTCAATTTTGGCTCCAAAACCTCTCAGGGGCTTCTGGGAGTTGTAGGCCCAGCCTCACCTACTGCTAGCCAGGCTCCCTGGGCCTAGTAGGCCTCTGGTGGCACAGCCCAGATCATAGGGTTGTCAAGTCCATCTTCCACCCCCAGCGGGGGACTTTGGGGGTGTTCCTGGAGGGGGCGGGGCATCCCGACGTGATGACGTCACTTTGGGGACGTCCGCTGGGGGGCCCCCCCGCCCGCGCGCCAGATCTCCAGAAATGGCAGTTCCCTGCACTTAAAGGAGCCGGGGTTTCCCTTTTAAGTGCACAAAGCTGGCATTTCCCTGCAAGCCTGATCTCAAGCGGAGATTGGGCTTGGGAGGAAACATGGGTTCCACACACTTAAAGGGAGAGAGAGGGGTGGCTGTGGGTGTTGGGGGTGGGGCTTCCCCCGCTGGCCATCTGGCCGGCGGCGGGTAGAACCCCCCAAAAAACGGGGGACCCCTGGCAAATCGGGGGGTTTGGCAACCCTACCAGATCATGACAGCACACTTAACCACTACACCAAACTGGTAAAGACTAAACTCTTAGTTTTTACCAAGAGATATGTTAAACATAGATGACAGCTTGATGGACATGGTATAGATCAGGTGAAGACCTTTAAGTATTTACGTGTAGTCTTCCAGTTGATTGGTATGTGAAGGGCTCAGATGACCCAAGGTACTGAGAGCACCTAAAGAGTGGCACCTGCCACCCTGAGATTTTCACATAGACTTTACATGATTAAAATCTTTCAGGGCAAGGTGATACCTCAGCTTTTGTAGGCTCACAGATCTGCTTCTGTAAAGGCTTCTGTTTCCTGCAAGCAATCCGATCTAAATTTCTTAGATCCTTATCTGTTGTCCCAAGCTGTGTTTCTAATGCTGTCCTCAGAACAGAGTTGGGGATGGTGCCTTTAGAGGCACGCAGTTGGTACCGAGTGGCAAGCTTTTGGTTCATGTTAAACTTGATCCCTCTTGAATTCTCCTTTAGTTCTCTTAGATAACTTTTGTTCAGGCTGGACTGAAGCCATTGAGAAGAAATTACAGTCTTTTTGGGCTTATTCCTCTAGCTCTGTGCCATCTTGGGTTCCTGGGAGCTAAAGAAACAAAGAATCTGTGAAATAGCCCTTCAAGTTGATAGAACCTGGATCCATTCTTATCTGGCAGCACAGAATCACAGTCAGAATCCCCCCCCCAAAAAAAAACAACAACTTAGCATTAAAACCTGAAACGTATCTGTTTAATATGCTTCCGAGTGGATATAATCAGCAAGAAAAATACCTGCTGTCATATATAAATATATATATATATATTAACTGCTGCGCGGTTACTTCTGGCAAAAAACTGGAAAAGTAATGTAATACCCTCAAGAGAAGATTTAGCACTTAAAATGTTAGAATTAGCGCAAATGGATGATTTGAGCCTGAGGCTACAAAATAAGAATGAAAAGGTACATGATAAAAGATGGACAAAGGTGTATGTATGGATAGAAAACTCAGTTGATGATTAATGACTCTAATGTATAGATAAATGTATAGATGGAATGTAAATAAGGTTTATAACAAAAATAAAAACTTTATAAAAAAAATAAAATCCCCCCCCCCAAATTACCTCTGCACCTTAGAATTTCCTAAATACTGCAGAGGATGTACTTTGGCCCGTTTGCTGCAAGGCAAATACTTTGGCCACCCAATGAGAAGGGAGCACTCACTGGAGAAGACCCTGATGCTGGGAAAGATTGAAGGTCAAAGAAGACGGGGACGGCAAAGGATGAGATGGTTAGACAGTGTCATAGATGCAACGAACATGAAATTGAGCCAACTTCAGAGGACGGCGGAAGACAGGAAGGCCTGGCGGGAGCTGGTCCATGGGGTCGCGAAGAGTCGGACTCGACTGTGCGACTGAACAATAACAAAATATATCTAGGTGTCCCTTGTTCCCGCTGTTTGTGTTTTTGCCAACTGAAAGCCCTGGAAACAGTTGAACATGCGTTACTTCACTGTTCCTTTTATAAGGATTTTTGTTCCCTTATATTACTCCTATTTTATCTAAGTTTCTGAACAGATCTGATAAAATTTATACTCTCCTTTAGATTGCCTTAATGAAATCACTGTTAGGGTGGCCAGGTTTTGTGCCTAGGTTCAGCTGATAAGGAAACAGATGCTTCTATCTTTTTATTAACTGCCTTACATTACTAAAATTAGTGCCTAAGTTAAGAATTTTTATTGTTTTTATATGTTTATTTGTGTTTAGTTCATGCCCTTCTGTTGGCTGATCTTTCATCGTAATAAAATAAAGAATTTAAGAACTTGATCAAAATGTGACAATAGGTATAATATATAATAGAACGTTATGTCTATGTATAGTTGTCAAAAGTCTTTGAAACTGTAAGCTAATGTTCAAACTACCAGCTCAGTCTTGAAATCTGATAAACAAAAGGCTAATTACCAATAGCTCAGCTATTAGGTTTTGTTTTAGGGTGGCTAAAAAAAGAGCGGTGGATGCTAACTTTATACTGTCCACCCTCTCTATACATTTTTATCCCACCTGTTCTTCAAAATGTTCAGGGTGATGTACATTGTTGTCCCTTCCCCAATCTTCATTAAGAAGCATCCTTTCTACACTGTATCAGAATCTTTATTCTAAATGAATAACAACACTTCTTAATTAAAATACCAAATTTACAGTAATATTTGTGCCAAAAGCAAAAGCAATTCTTGTTGTCGAAGGCTTTCATGACTGGAGTTCATTAGTTATAGATTTCCTAGGCTTGTATGGCTGTGGTCTTGACACAGAGAGTACTCCATCTTTCTGTGTTATACCTCTGAGGATGCCATTCACAGCTGCTGGTGAAACGTCAGATTCAGTGCAGATAAAAAGATAAGAAAAGCTCTGCTGGATCAGACCAGTGGTCCACCTAGTCCATCCTGTCTCACACAGTGGCCAATCCGTTCCTCTGGAGGGACAGCAATGGGGCATAGAGGCTGAGACCTTCCCCTGATGTTGCCTCCTGGCTCTGGTATTCAGAGATTTAGTGCCTATGAATGCGGAGGTTCCTTTCAGTCACAGTGGCTAGTAACCACTGATAGACATCCTCCATGAATCTGTCTAATCCCCTTTTAAAGCTGTTTATTCCTGTAACCTTCACTACATGTTCTGGCAGTGAATTCCACATTTTAATAACTCTCTCTGTAAATAAGTATTTTCCTTTGTCTGTCCTGAATCTACTCTCTGTCAGCTTCATTGGGTATCCTTGAGTTCTAGTATTTTGGGAGGGGGAGAAAAACTGTTTATCAGCTGTTACCTTTCCTCCTAGGGAAGATGCTCCAACCTCCTAATCATCTTGGTTGCCCTTCTCTGTACTTTCTTCCAGCTCTGCAATATCCTTTTTTTGAGATACGATGACCAGAACTGTCCACAGTATTCCAAATGAGGCCGCACCAATAGATCTATACAGGGGCATTATGATATCAGCCGTTTTATTTTTCAATCCCTTTCCTAATAATCCCTAACATAGTGTTTGCCTTTTTCACTGCTGCAGCACGCTGGGTTGACACTTTATGTGACCCCAAGAGCCTTTTCCCTTTCAGTCTCAGCAAGTTAAAACCCCATTAGCATGTACTTGAGGCTGGGATTGGTTGTCCGTGTGTATCACCTTACAGTTACCAGCACTGAATTTCATTTGCCATACTGTTGCCCACCCACCCAGTTTGTGGAGGTCCTCTTAGAGCTTAAAGGTAAAGGTAAAGGTCTCCCTTGCTCGAAAGCCAGTCGAATCCAACTCAAGGGTTGCGGTGCTCATCTCCGTTTCCAAGCCGAAGAGCCAGCGCTGTCCGAAGACGTTTCCGAGGTCATGTGGCCGGCATGACTAAACACCAAGGCGCACGGAACGCTGTTACCTTCCCACCAAAGTGGTACCTACTTATCCACTTGTAATTTCTTGCTTTCGAACTGCTAGGTTGGCAGGAGCTGGAACTAGAGATGGGAGCTCACTCCGTCATGCGGCACACTCAGGTCTCGAACTGCTGAACTTCCGACCTCCCACAGCCTGCAGTTCAGCGTCTTAACCACTTGAGCCACCGCAGCTCCTCTTAGAGCTTAGGGTAACCGTAACCATCCTGAATAATTTTGTGTCATCTGCAGACTTGGCCACTAGACTACTCACCCCTAATTCCAGATAATTTTTGAATAAATTAAATAGTACCAGCCAATGCTCCCTCTAAGCTGTGGTATCTTGCGAGCAAAAATTGTACCTTGTGAGCTACTGGCATTAAAGTTGTGAACAAGTGATTTGGCTACTGCATAAATTAATTTGCTCTGGAGCCATCCTTCCTGAGCTAAGACAAAACTGTGTGAGCTGGAGGCTAAAAAACTGTGAGCTAGCTCACACTCACTCAGCTTAGAGGGAACACTGGTACCAGCCCCTGCACCAATCCTTGTGGGACCCCACTGCTTACTTCCCTCCATTGTGAGAACTGTCCATTGATTCTTACTCTTCACTTCCTGTCATGTAACCAATTTTGATCTTGTAATATTTTCAGAATTGTTTTATTATCTTCTAGGTACGGACTTAGTGGATGCTTTTAAGCCACTGAAGAAGGTATCAGATTCAGACATGAATATGGAGTACAGCCTGTTTATGTGTGAGAGGCATCGATATAGTCCACAGCTCTATATCCGCCAAGCCAGGTAATAGTTCTGCCCCCTTCCGTGATTTTTACTGTGATAGTTTAACCAACTAACTTTATTTATTTAAAATATTTATATCCTGCCTTTCTCGTTTGACTGAAGATGGCTTTCATGAACAACAAGTTGCAATAGAAAAACAAAACCATATACAAAGTTACCACCAAAACATGTATTAGAACAGAACTTACAACCTACTCTTTGCACAAACAGCTCTCTGAAAGAGAACACTCTTGCATGCCTTCTAAAAAGCAGGAAGCAAAGGTGCCTGCCCCCCTCCCATTTTGGTAGTCTGCTCCATGATAACAGCCACACAGAGGAAAATGCCCAGTCCTATTATTATAGTTGTTGTTATTTACAAGATTTATATCTCACCTTTCAGCTTAATCTGGGCCTCCAAGGTAGCTAACAAGTAAAAACAGCAGCATAAAAATAATAAAAAAGAGTTAAAACAAAAAAGAACTAATATAAAACCCAGAAACATTAATTAAAACATTTTATTTATTTATTTATTTCAATTTATATTCTGCCCTCCCCGCAAGCTGGCTCAGAGTGGAACACAAAACAGATCAAGACATCATATTCATTCATTCATTCATTCATTCATTCATTTATTTTATACCCCTTCCTATCCCACACGTGGGCTCAGGATTGCTTGCAACATGTAATGAAGCAATAAAACAGTAGAAGCAATAAAACAATCAACGGGATGATAAACAATATCATCGAAACCCATGCCTCATATCAGGTGAATATAGGTGCTCCAGTGCCCAATAATATTGTCAGCAGGCACTGGGGGAGGGGCCGTAAACAGGGGAGGCCAGAATGGTTGAACGTCCGCCGCCTCAATCATTATTCAATATAAAAATAATTATAAATATTAACATATACAAAACAATTAAAACAATATAAAACAACATCTGTTAAAACAGGTTGCCCTATTCGTATGCAGATTTCAACATAGGGCAGGAAGAAGGAATCATTGAGGGAACGCAGTAATAGAAGGGGGCAGACGAATATCCCTGAGGAGAATGTTCCAGTCTTGGTGCTTGGCGTCTCTTGGGTTGCCACCCACTTGATCTCAGAAGGTGGGGGCACCTGAAGCTGTGGGGCGAGAGACTCCCGTGAGGCAAACCCAGGAGATCTCAAGTCCCCGCCGGGAGATTGGCTTGGCAGATACACAAGGTTTTTTGAGTCTGCTAAATTACTCTAAGAGCACAATGAATTACGGAGAGCACAAGCTTTGCAACATTCAAAGATAATATTGGCTGTGAGAAGAACACAGTGTGATTCTTAGTTAGAAGCTTCTAAGAGTAACGATTTCTCTGTACAATGTGTGAGCTTGGATTTTTCCTCTGAATAAAAACATTGCTGACAGCCTGTCAGAGGAGGAAGTTGGGACAGAGAGACAGAGCTGATCAGTAGCTTCAAGAAATCCGTTGTGGTGTGTCGTTATTGAACCCTCACAAAGTCTACATGAAGCAACGTCTCAGAAGATGATCGTAGTGACTGGGCAGGTTCCTATGGGAGTAAGTCCTGAGGTCCCAGGGAGAAGATTCTAGCTGTCGCAGAATGGGTCAACTAGGGAAGGTGTTGTGAAGAGAGTTCACCTGAGGACCACAGTTGCACATGGGCATATATTAGGAGATGTGGTTCAATAGGTATGATTACTGCAACTGCGATGTTATTGGCATAAAGCAAACTTCCTGGATATTGTCTTGGGAACATCAGAGATGTATTGATTGAAAAGAACTGGAGTGAGGACCGAGCCCTGGGGCAGACTGTTATTCAGTTTCTTCTGCTTGCTGATTGACTGACTCAGAAAGTTCTATTGCTCAGCATGTTGTTTAGGAGTCGAAATAATGTTCTGCAGTGAACATGTCGCTGTTGATCATGAACTCATTATGGATGTAGTCAAAGCTTGATGCCATTCCGCTCTTAATGTCCTACAGTGTCATTTTGTGCCCAGTGTAACTTCCAAGTCATCTTCAGCATGGAACCTGACACAGCAGCCTAATCTGGAGAGTGACAGTGTCATGGATCTAATGACAAGGTCATCAGACTCTAAATAGGGAAGAGGAGGAGGAGATTGGATTTATACCCCGCCCTTCACTCGGAGTCTCAGAGCGGCTTACCAACTCCTTTCCCTTCCCCTCCCCACAACAAACACCCTGTGAGGTGGGTGGGGCTGAGAGAGCTCTTCCCAGAACTGTCCTTGAGAGAACAGCTCTGACAGAACTATGGCTTGCCCAAGGTCATCCAGCAGCTGCAAGTGGAGGAGTGGGGAATCAAACCTGGTTCTCCCAGATTAGAGTCCGCGCACTTAACCACTACACCAAACTGGCTCTCCGCTTACAAGGGAGCCAGTTTACAAGCAAGATGTGGCTGGGAAAGGCACTCCAAGCAGTAGCAGCAGCAGCACCAGCCTGTTTCTCCACCAGCAAGTCTGAGTTATCATTCAGATAACTCTGAAAGTTTGCTGGTCCCCCCACATTCACTTCTTTCAGGGTGTGCAGTATTCATAGCCGCCGTCATGGAAACGTGTATCTTTTCAGCCTCTGCACCTGCCTGACAACATGAATATTCACTGAACATTCTCTGTTTACACAATGACTTTTTGCCACTGCAGTCACATGAGGTTGTGGTTAGCTTTGCTCATGCAGCTCATTGTGTTGGGTTGCAGTGTTGTGAGATGCCAGCTGTTCACCTGTCTGAACGCAGATGTTTGATTGTGACATCTCTTAACACGAAACAGCATCACTTGTGTGTGTGGGAGGGGTTGTCCTGGGTATAGGTACCTCAAGCAAAGATTTTCAAGCATAGTCCATGTTGCCACTCTCAGAAATACTATAGATTTAGAAAGTCTTTTGTCTGCCTTGATATTTCTGCTGCAAACTCACCTTTCCCAAGGTTTTACCGTGCCTTGTATTACCTCTCAAGCACTTCAAAGCACATTTATTTTATAACCAGAAATGTAAGGTCTATTGTTGCATCCAGTTACGACATGGCGAGGCGGGAGAGCAGATAATACAGCTGGGCTTTGTGCCATCTCTGTGCAATGAATGGATTGTTGTTGTTGCATTTTAGATGTTCCAGTTTTGATCCATGCTTTTATTCTTTTTACACCTTATCGTATGTATGTGTGCAAATAATACCAGTATCGCACAAAGCTACAACAGTGCAGGGGGGCTTGTTGTTGAAGCACTGGAGGACAATCATGCTGTTTTGTGCTTGACCATAAGAAGAGCCCTGCTGAATTAAACTGGTGGCCCATCTAGTCCAGCATACTCTCTCACACAGTGGCTAATCAGTTAGTAGGGAGGGCTAACAGCAGGGCTTAGAGACTAAGGCCTTACCCCAATGTTGCCTTCCAGCACTCGTATTCAGAGGTTTTCTACTTCTAAGCATGGAGGTTCCCTTTAGACACCTCGCTAGTAGCCACTGATGGACCTCCTCCATTATTATTTTTTTAATCCCCTTGTGGCCATTTGTCCTTGTGGCCATCACAAAAGAGGGGATTGGTCAGGATTTCTCTTAATCTGGGTAGAATAACTCAACACGCTCATCATTACAGAGTCCATTACCTCAGTCTCCAAAGGTTGCTGCCCTTTGTGGTTTAGTAATCATGTATAGTAGTGACCTGTCAATCAATAATTATATCCGTGCCAATATCCATATCAAGTGGTTAAGATGCTGAACTGCAGGCTGTGGAAGGTCGGTAGTTCAGCAGTTCGAGACCCGAGTGTGCCGCATGACGGAGTGAGCTCCCATCTCTAGTTCCAGCTCCTGCCAACCTAGCAGTTCGAAAGCAAGAAATTGGGTACAGGGAACATGTTTTCGGCGTACCACTGACCTCTCGCTCTTTTCCAACCATCTGTACTAGCACAAGTTTCTGCACAATACTTTCTTAAGGTTGCCAGATCTAGGTGGGGAAACTGCTGTAGATTTGGGGGTGGAGCCTGGGGAGGACAGGGACCTCAGTGGGGCACAGTACCGCAGAGTCCACCCTCCAAAGCATTCATTTTCTCCAGGGTAACTGATCTCTGCAGTCTGGAGATGAGCTGTAATTCCAGGGGATCCCCAGGTCCCACCTGGAGGCTGGCATCCCAAATTAACCCTCACTTCCTTTGAAGTTACCTTCCTTTTGGTTACGACAAACGTTTGAAGGGCAAGGCACCATTATTTGTCGTGGAGTCAAGCTTGATTTTATGGTGGTGACCAATCTTGTTCTGACAGGGTTGTCTAAAAAAACCGGCGTACAGAACAGCCTCATTCTTTTCAGCACAGATCTCCCTTCCAGGAATTGATTCATTGTGCATGAAAACAGCCACAGCCTGCTACAAATGATTACATTGTCTCCAAAGTAATTTGAGCTCTTTCATCATACGATAGTACCCATCTGCTCAACGCAGAATTTGTTTTGGCGAAGCTGACGGTTTCTCCGCCTTTCTGCAATAGCATCTAAACGTTTTTTTGCCCATTGCTGGAGGTGATTTAATCAGATTTATTCGGAGGTCTCTTGAAAACAAAGTGATTCCTGGTGCGCCTCATTGAGATGTGCAAGTCTACAGTTGCCCCCCTTCCAGGGGTCATTTAGTAGAAAAAGCGGTGCAGGAGCTCATTAGCATAACTCATTAGCACAACTTATTTGCATATGCCACACCCCCTGACATCACCGGAAGTGTGTCAGAAGGCAACACCCACCGCTCAGGCGCCACTGGACTGTTTTGGATTGCTAGCTATTGGGGGGGGGGAACGTGCAGATCTGCCCTCACAGAGGAGGGAGAGCTTGTACCTGAAGGCGGGCCAGGGGGGGGGGCTCTGCAATTTACCTGGCTGCTTCTTGCTCTGCGTGGCCTGACTGAGGGCTGCTGGGAGCAGGGGGCGGGGCTTGTTGCATGTGCCCACCCCCTGGGCTCCTTACTGCCGGAGCTCTGCTCCTGTGTGCTCCCGCAGGAAATGACCCCTGCCCCCTTCCAAGTCCGTTGAAGCCAGTGGGCTTTAGAGGGGTGTAACTCTGCTCAGGATTGCGCTGTAAAGGCTTGATGTGTTTCGCAGAGTCTGTCTTCTAAAAGGTTTCTGTAATGGACAGCCTGTTGAGTTATGTTACGTTTATGCATGTTGGCAAGCAGTAAAATGAATATTCGAGAGTAGTGGAAAAGAAGGAATGTGCTTGTTCCGGGACCACTAGAGGTCACCCTAGGCCTTGTCACAAACCTTGTCCTTGCACATGGAAATCTCCTTGATGACAGGAATACATTAAGGAACAGCCAGAAGTATTCTGCTTACCACAAGGATAGAACGGTGTCTGTCTGTATTTCTTGGCTTGCTTCCCTGCATTCAATTTAGTGAAACATATGCTGCTGGCAAGTCAGTTTGATGGGGGCTGCTGAGGGTTGGGGTACGGGGTACCCCCTTCCTTCCTGTGCTCCCCCACCTGCTCTGCTCATTTCACTCTCCTTCTCCCTTTATCTGGCAGTGAAAGAGAGTCTCTTTTCCCCAGTGGCATGTGCCAGTTACAAGTAAAGTTTACCTGCTGAAATGCTCTCCGTATATAGCTTGTCTGAATGGAGAAAAGTCATAAGGAGAAGGGTTCAGTTTTCTCAGCTTCATGCTGTATTTCTGCGTTCAGAGGGGTTTTATTTGTGGTTCATGTTCAAGCCATGTAAACCCCCAGCCACAGTTTGAAGTGGTTTAGCTCAGAAAAACTTGATTCAGCTGAATGTATAAACTGGATCTTAGGTCTTCACAGTGTGAGATGTCTAGTTATAACCAGGGGTCATTTCCTGCAGGAGCGCACAGGAGCGGAGCTCTGGCAGTAAAGAGCCCAGGGGGCGGGCACATGCAACAAGCCCCGCCCCCTGCTCCCAGCAGCCCTGGGCCACGAGGAGCATGAGGATCTGCACGTGTCCCCCCCATAGCTAGCCATCCAAAACAGTCCAGTGGAGCCTGAGTGGTGGGTGTCGCCTTCTGACACACTTCCGGTGATGTCAGGGGGTGTGGCATATGCAAATAAGTTATGCTAATGAGTTATGCTAATGAGCTCCTGCACCTCTTTTTCTACGAAATGACCCCTGGTTATAACCACAGGAGGAACTGGCTGGGGGGGTGTGGATAGGAACATTTTTATTTACTTCATTTATCCCTCACCTTTCTCCCCAGTGGGGCCCAAAATGGCTTACATCTTTCTCCTCTCTTCCATTTTATCCTCAAATCTGTGAGGTTGGTTAGGATGAGAGAGTGTGAGTTCCTGTGGCAGTGTGGAGGTTCGAACATAGAGTTCTCCCAGATCATAGCCTGTCACTCTAACAACTAGAAGAAGAAGAAGAGAAGAGTTTGGATGTATACCCCGCCCTTCACTTGGAGTCTCAGAGCGGTTTACAAACTCCTTTCCCTTCCCCCTCCCCACAACAGACACCCTGTGAGGGAGTTGGGGCTGAGAGAGAGCTGAGAGAACGCTCTGAGAGAACAGCTCTGACAGAACTATGGCTTACCCAGGTCATCCAGCTGCTGCAAGTGGAGGAGTGAGGAATCAAAACCCGGTTCTCCCAGATTAGAGTCTGCGAATTTAACCACTACACCAAACTAGTATACATCCTTTCTTCTAGTTGGAACTGGAGTCTGTGAGCATGTTAATTATCAAATAGGTTATACCCTGTTTCTGAGCAGGGCTGGAGAAAAATGTCTTGTCCCTTTAACAGAGGTCTAACCTGTGGAAATGGGCAGCTGAAGCTTTTCACAACACGGTTTGTTAAATAACACCCATTAAGCCTCTGTTAAAAGGGTGGGACATTTATTTCCTCTAGCCAGTTGGCAATCATTGTCAGGGTCCTTAGTTAGGTTACTCAACACGGCTTCATGAGAAGAGAACTGTTTATTGGTAAATCCAGAACTGAAGACACATGTACAGCTTGTGTCAGGAATGGCCGACAATACTAGGGCCTCTGACTTATACTAGAATCAAACATTCCCCCTGGTAAGCATAGCCAATGGATACATTTCGCGCGCGCGGGCAAAGCAGGCAGGCAAAGCAAAAGCCGTTAGCTTTCCCAGCTGAATAATACTGCAGCTGGAACATCTACAAGGTCAAGCATATGATAACATACAGTTGGTGAGCCAGGGAGAGCTGAGACAGAAAACGGGAGGGCACCCCTCCACATTCCAGACCCATGACAGGGCTGCCTGACAATCATATATCATCAGTCCAAAATATTTCCAGTTCTTAACAGCTCCCCACCCCCCTTACATCCTAGTGCGAGAGTGAGAATGAACAAATTATGATTTTAATTAAAATTATGTTTTGATGGAGGCAGTGAATGAATCTGTTAATTAAAATGCTGGCAGTGATTAGTGGGTGAACGAACAGTAAAGTTGATGAGATGTCTTCAGCTTATAGCCGTGCCTGTGCTCCCTGAAGCCAAGTACGCAGTGGGATCGGGTGAGAACTGTGAGGAGAATGGAGCTCCTAGAATGGGACTTTCCTGCCTTCCCATCTCCCCCCAAAAAACCGCTCCTGGAAATAGCACTGGGGACAGTGGGGGGGTCTGCAGTAGGGCAGGGGAATCAGCACCCATGCTCTGGCTGAAACTGACCCTAGGACAGGCCTGTAGCTAACGCAGGGCCTGGCCCCCTAGCATTTCCTCCGGGGGCCCTGTCTCCCGGGCCAGTCCCAAATTGAATGAATTTGATTAACTTTGATTTAATTAGCTGAGCCCCCCCCAGGCCCCCTTCCCCCAAAATCCCTAGCTACAGGGCTGCCCTAGGATACAACATTTAGGATCCCTTGAATCCATTCTGGTAGTGAAAGCACTTTCCTCTGGTGGAAGGAGCCTTCTCTGACTTAGGATGTGAGTGCTTCCTCTAGTGGAACAGGATCAGTGGATGCAGTCTGCTGATTAGTTCCAGACCCTATTAAGTCTGAAGGACATTATCTTTTCTGTTTTTGTTTTAGGGTAGAAGACCATGATGACCTCACTCCTCTCTTCACAAGTCAGAATGATACTCTGAGAGAAACGTATGGTGAATACTTCCTCGCTGAACTAATAGAAGCACAAGATGACGAGAACGTTGCGGTGGTTTGTGAGGTGAGAGGGGAATGCCGACTTGACACTGTTTTGCGTTTTATGAGGCCCACAATATCTCCACGCGTAAGGCGGGGAAGTGACCTGGAATTATTCCTGGCACCTTTGTTGTTGTTCAGTCGCACAGTCGAATCCGACTCTTCGCGACCCCATGGACCAGCTCCCGCCAGGCTTTCCTGTCTTCCGCCGTCCTCTGAAGTTTACTCAATTTCATATTCGTTGCATCTATGACACTGTCTAACCATCTCATCCTTTGCCGTCCCCATCTTCTTTGACCTTCAATCTTTCCCAGCATCAGGGTCTTCTCCAGTGAGTTCTCCCTTCTCATTTGGTGGCCAAAGTCTTTGAGCTTCAGTTTCATTATCTGGCCTTCCAGGGAACAGTCAGGGTTGATTTCTTTTAGGATTGACGGATTTGATCTTCTTGCAGTCCAAGGGACTCTCAAGAGTCTTCTCCAGCACCATAGTTCAAAAGAATCTATTCTTCGGCGCTCGGCCTTCCTTATAGTCCAACTCTCGCAGCCATACATGACTACTGGGAATACCATTGCTTTGACCACAATTTATGACTGAACACAATTTCTGTTTTCATCTAACTGTGCTTCACTGTTCAGCCTTGAGAACATAAGAAAACCCCTGCTAGATCAGATCCGTGGTCCATCTAGCCTACTTTCCTGTTTCTCCCAGTGGCCAACCACTTGTGCTGGAAGGGCATCCTGGAAATGAACAACTGGCCACCTGTCTGTTCAGGTGGGGACATTCAAAGACTGTTTGAGAGGGTGTCTCCACACAGTACTCAAATAAGTGGATAAATATTTTAACGTTGTAGAGGATGCTGTATCTAATGGTGAGTCTGCTGGGGAGTCAAGTGGCATGATTAGCTGTATTTGACCCCAGTGAAGTAGCAAAGGTTAATCCGGAACTGGTTTGCAAGGTTTGGGTGACAATGAGGGTGGTACAGTGGCACCCTGTTGCTTTTGAGGGCAGTTGGGTGATGACATCATGATGGCTGATGACTGCATGTCACATACAGGATTGACACCGGAATAGAAAGAGTTGCCTTTGACTACGGACATATCCCCTCCGACCAAAAAAAAAAAAAAGATGCTATAGCATTGGCAGCTAAAATGACTAATGGGATGTAACACCTTCCCTATTCCTGGCACCTTTGTTGTTGTTCAGTTGCACAGTCGAGTCCGACTCTTCGCGACCCCATGGACCAGATCCCGCCAGGCCTTCCTGTCTTCCGCCGTCCTCTGAAGTTGGCTCAACTTCATGTTCGTTGCATCTGTGACACTGTCTAACCATCTCATCCTTTGCCGTCCCCGTCTTCTTTGACCTTCAGTCTTTCCCAGCATCAGGGTCTTCTCCAGTGAGTGCTCCCTTCTCATTTGGTGGCCAAAGTATTTGAGCTTCAGTTTCATTATCTGGCCTTCCAGGGAACAGTCAGAGTTGATTTCTTTTAGGATTGACTGATTTGATCTCCTTGCAGTCCAAGGGACTCTCACGAGTCTTCTCCAGCACCATAGTTCAAAATAATCTATTCTTCGGCGCTCGGCCTTCCTTATAGTCCAACTCTCGCAGCCATACATGACTACTGGGAATACCATTGCTTTGACCATGCGGACTTTTGTGGGCAGGGTGACGTCTCTACTTTTTATCATGCTGTTTAGGTTCGCCATCGCTTTCCTCCCAAGGAGCAGGCGTCTTTTAATTTCATGGCTGCTGTCACAGTCTGTGGTGATCTGGGCTCCCAGGAACGTGAAGTCTGTCACTACTTCCACGACTTCCCCTTCTATTTGCCAAGGAGTGATGGGGCCGGATGCCATGATCTTCGTTTTTTTGATGTTGAGCTTCAAGCCCACTTTTGCGCTCTCCTCTTTTACCCTGAGCAAGAGGCTCTTTAGGTCCTCTTCACTTTCTGCCATTAGAGTGGTATCATCTTAGTGAGCCCTAATAGCAGTGATCAACGCTGAGCCTGCTTTGGCGGGGAGGACGGGGTATAAATCTAATAAACAAACAAACAACTCTACTTGGGACTGGGGAGGCTCCCTGCCATCCCTTCTTCTGTTGAATGTGAGGACCTGTGCTCGGAGACCGTACAAACACCCACATGAATTTCCATACTGGTTTAACTTGACACAGCATACATCTTTCTGGCCGTCAAAATGCCTGTGCCTTGGCTAAGTTCTAGATTGTTACAATTTGGCTATCTAGTTTGGTACAGAAGTAGATGCTTTAATTGTAGAGCAGTTTCATAATAATGCATTTTTCCTGAGAGGGCGAAGGAAGGACAGTATGCATTTAAGTGTGGCAAAATGTTCGCATAATTTATTTATTTTGCAGGCACACAAAGAAGGGTGGGTACCATGGCACCTCATCCATCAGCCCAATATTCTTCGTTATCCCTGTGCACGCATCCCAGGGTGGCTTTCAGGGGATCAAAACAAAAACATTTCTGTGCCCAAGCAAATTAGGGTCTGCTTGCCTGCTTATGGGTAGAATTGCAAATTTTCTCTTTTATGCATTTAGAGTCACAGCAGTGACTGCATCAGGGTCTCTTCAGTGGATTCCATTAATGGGAACTTATTTTTCCCTTTCTATCTTTTCTAAGAGTGGCCTGGGAAGAGGAGTTAGTCGTGGGGCTTCCCTCGTGGTGAAGCTTTATATTTTTGCTCTGCTGCTACGGGGAGTAGGAACCGTCTAATTATCAGAAAGCATAATGATTAATGAAGCAGTACTATAGTGTTATGAAATCTCCCTATGTAAGAAAGGGTAGGTTAGAAACCACCCCGTGTGTATACATAGGTTAGAAATATTAGTCTGTTAATCATGGCAGGTCACTGTGATCCATAAATTACTTCTTTGGATTTGAAAGCAGAGAAATCCTAACGTTTTCAAATCCTAGGGTGGGTGAGCTATCACTTTTTTTGTCATTAGGAACATAAGAGAAGCCGTGCTAGATCGAGTCAATGGCCCATCCAGTCCAACACTCTAGGTTACACAGTGGCCAAAACCCAGATGTCATCAGAAGGTCCACCACGGGGCCAGAACTCCAGAAGCCCTCCCACTGTTGCCCCCCGAGTACCAAGAATACAGAGCATCACTGCCCCAGACATAGTGTTCTATCTATACCTTGTGGCTAATAGCCACTGATGGAACTATGCTCCATAAATTTATCCAATTCCCTCTTGAAACTGTCTATGCTTGTAGCTGCCCCCACTTCCTGGGGCAGTGAATTTCACATGTTAATTACTCTTTGGATGATGAAGCAATTAACACAGGGAACTCACTACCACAGGAAGTGATAGCAGCTACAAACATAGACAGACATTCAAGCATAGACATTCAAAGAGTGGGAGGCAATCATCGATCCAAAAAAGGGAAGGAAACCGCTGCAGATTATTATGTTATTTAAAGTTGGAAACAGTCAGCACAGTAACACCGTTGTTTGAAGTTAGCTTCCTTTACAAACATGGCAGCCCCATTGGAGAGTTATCGCTTCAGTCTTCAGACGATGCCATTCGCTGTGTCGTGCCTTCATCAGCGCCACCGTGGAGTGGTAAAATGCTGCCATGTGGCCTGAGATAGATGTCAGTTTGCCCTGCAAGAGAATGAAGCTGGCAACTTCTTATTTTGCACATATGGCAGATAGATTGTTTAATCAGGCTGTGCTGAGCCTTGGGCCTAAAACGATGTTGGCGCCAGGCAACTGCAGGGCTCCATCTTTGTTCAGCTAAGCAAATAAACAGTCGGTGGTGGGGGCAGGGGAGAACTATATGTATTTATTATTTTTTAATGATGCGCCATTAGGCATCTATGTCAACCTAGTCCTTTAACAAACACTTCTTTAAGACCATGAGGAAACTTAGTGAGTCTATTTTTGTCAAGTACTATTTGTCAAGACAGTTTATATCAGTGCTTACAGCATGGAGAAATCTCCCCACTGCTGTGCTTTTTGTATGTGCCAATTGAAATCACAAGTTACCAGAAACCATGATGTTTCTTGGTAGTTATCTGCCAGAGATGCCTAAACTATATTACATCGATCAAGCTGGGTGGCCATTTTAGTCTATTTTTATTTATTTATAATTTATAAATTCCATTTATAGCCCGCCCTCCCCGCAACGCGGGCTCAGGGCGGCTCACAGATAGGCATAAGCCGACACATAAAACACATTAAAACCATTTAAAATCATTACTACAATATTACAACATTATTAAGTGCTCTAGATGTTCCGAAATGATCTTCCATAGAGATGACGACTTAAAGATGGTACCCCAATCAGTGCCATCAGTTCCACATGACGCTATCGTTCTCTCTTCCAGGGCCAGATAGTGGTGGTACAGTAGTGGCGGCTCCTACTCAAACGCCTGGCGGAGGAGCTCCGTCTTGCAGGCCCTGCGGAACTGTGCAAGGTCCCGCAGGGCCCGGATCTCCTCCGGGAGCTCGTTCCACCAGGTAGGAGCCGCCACCGAGAAGGCTCTGGCCCTGGTAGCAGCCAGCCTGGCCTCCTTGGGGCCTGGCATCGTCAGGAGATCTGTAGCAGCGGAAAAGAGCCAGAGTCCGATAGCACCTTAAACGCTAAAAAAAAACCCGTGGCAGGGCATGAGCTTTCGTGAGTCACGAAAAGGGGAAAGCTCCTCCCCTGCCACAAATTTTGTTAGTCTTTAAGGTGCTCCTGGACTCTTGCTCTTTTCTGTATTATACAGTGTCGGGTGCCTTAGGACAGGACTGGATTCGCTGGCAGACGGGGTCTCTCCTAACCAGTCCAGAGGGGTAGCCGTGCTAGTATGTTGCAGGAAAAACATATAGGAGTTTAGAGAAAGTGGGCTGTAGTCCGTGAAAGGTTCTGCTGGAATGAAATCTTTTTCGGTCTTTAAGGCATTGCTGCACCCCCTGTTTATCCTTCCAAATGTAGCCTTTGAGATTCTGCCTTTTCATGAGAAAGTGTTGGGTATTACATGTTAAAAACACTTCAGTATATATGGGGTTAAATGTTTGTTTGTGTTGCTCACAGGAAATCACATGTTTCATTTAGCCAATGCTAGTTTAGGACTACAAGCCCGGGAAACTTCTGCCTGATCTAGGAGTTTGATTGGAGTGATAGTGTCAAAGTGTTTTAGCATTTTATGGCTCCTCTTCCCGTCTTTGTGTTTCTGTTCTGAAGAAGAAGAAAGAGAAGCCATTGCTAGCTCTTCTAGTCTAGCCGTTGTAGTGTAAAGATGTAGCTGATTAGCTCTGTTGTTATTTTCATCCCAGTTACCCTTCCCTATGGTAGAATGTAGTAAAAACTTTCTATTTTAAACACACATGGACTCTGAGTCTTAATTATTTTACTCTGGCATTGCTAAGCTATTTTATCTCTGCTGAATTACAATTTTTAAAACCCCAACAGAAAGTAACCCCCTTTTTGTTTTGATATTTTCAGGAGGAGGGCAAGGCGGTGGGCTTCATGAGCGTGTGCTCCAAAGTGAACATAGAATTGCTTCACGACTGCTTCGACTTGGGTCCTTTCCACGGACTCTGCAAACCGCACTCAGACGACGTCCTGAAGCTCCCACAGGAGCGAAGTGACATAGGTGAAAATACCAAAATGTTTGTAAGCTCTAGAGCCCGTGCCTTGATTTGGGCTTTGTTATATATTTTTTCTTTATTTAAAACATTTACGTCCTGGATCTAACTTGGATGGCCCGGGCTAGCCCGCTTTGGTCAGCTTTTGGAAAGCTAAGCAGGGTCGGCCCTGGTCGGTACTCAGACGGAAGACCACCAAGGAAGTCCAAGGTCACTACGCCAGGGGCAGGCAATGGCAAACCACCTCTGCATGTCTCTTGCCTTGAAAACCCTAAGGGGTCACCGGAAGTCGGCTGTAACTTGGTAACACTTTCCACCACTACATCTCTACAAACTCTGAGGCAGCAAAAAAACTGAAGTCCCTAAAATCACAGTTCCCACCATACGCCAGTGCCAAAAAGGGTAGAGCTGGGGGGGAGAAGGAAGAGATTGGATTTATACCCTGCCCTTCACTACCTGAGGAGCTGCGGTGGCTCAAGGGGTTAAGACGCTGAACTGCAGGCTGTGGAAGGTCGGTAGTTCAGCAGTTCGAGACCCGGGTGTGCCGCATGACGGAGTGAGCTCCCGTCTCTAGTTCCAGCTCCTGCCAACCTAGCAGTTCGAAAGCAAGACATTGCAAGTAGATAAATAGGTACCCCTTCGGTGGGAAGGGAACAGCGTTCCGTGCGCCTTGGTGTTTAGTCAAGCCGGCCACATGACCACGGAAACGTCTTCAGACAGCGCTGGCTCTTCGGCTTGGAAACGGAGATGAGCACCGCAACCCTAGAGTCAGACTTGACTGGCTTTCGAGTAAGGGAACCTTTACCTTTACCTTCACTACCTGAAAGAGTCTCAGAGCGGCTTACAATCCCTTCCCCTTCCCCTTCCCCTCCCGGCAACAGACACCCTGTGAGATAGGTGGGGCTGAAAGAGCTCTCTCGAGAACTGCCCTTGAGAGAACCATTATAAAAGAATTTTATGACTGACCCAAGGTCACACCAGCCGCTGCAAGTGGAGGAGCAGGGAATCAAACCCAGTTCTCCCAGATTAGAGTCCGCACACCTTAACCACTACACCAAACTGGCAGATGCAGTTCCCATAGTTGAGAGAACTCTTATGATGTAGCGGGTCTGATCTGGCAGGCAGATGGTACTCGGAGTAGCACTTCCCCCATAGATCTCAGAGACCAGACTGTCATAAGATGAACCAGGGCTCCCCAGCCCTTTCGAGCCCGAGGGTACCTTTGGAATCCTGACAGTGGATAGCAGGCCCAACCACAAAATGGCTGCTGCAGGAGGCGGAGTCGACCACAAAAATGTCAGGGAGTAAGTTTACGCATAACTCTAGTAGCCTCCTCAGCATTTCAGGCAGAAACTCTGTGTAATAGGATGCCATTTAAAACAAACATATCGTTTAAAAATATTTTCTTACATACGTAACATCTGCTCTTCAGACATCCAGTAAGGATGCTTGTACTGCGGTGGCCACTGCTGCCCAAGCAACTTTTTAATAATCTGCATACCCAACCAGAAGTCCCACTGGGCAAAAGCCCTGCCCACTTTCTAAAAACATTTAAGGGGCACCAGGGAAGATATTGGTGGGTGTTGTGGTGCCCACGGACATCCCTTTTGGGAACCTTGAGATAGGGTGCGTTCAGATGGGCAGTTCTATCTGTTGCCGTTGCTGTTCCCTTATGGATTTAAAGTACACTATCAGACAGCAACATCTGTCTGTCGTGCTGCAGTCATCTGAGTCCCACTCCCCCCCCCTTTGCTGTGTGTTTCTTTGATACCTGAGAAAGTCGGGTCCTGTTGATCTTAGCTGGTTCCAAAGCGGATTTCCTGCTGTCTGATTGCTCTGTTGCGCAACCAAGCCGACAGGCAGGTCTCACTGTTCTCTTGTTTTCCAGCCACCATTTTGTTTTACTAGTTAGCAGGGGTCCTGCAGGAGCGCACAGGAGCAGAGCTCCGGCAGTAACGAGCTCCGGCAGTAAAGAGCAGGGGGCGGGCACATACAAATATAAAGTGCTGGCGGCAGTTAAAAATTAACCTAGATGGTATATTGTCAGAGTAAATTTCCACTACCCAGATGTTCCACGATGTTTCTGCTCATAATCAGTTGGATGTTAAAACCACAAACCAGAGCTCTGCAGTAATGGCCTGCAATAGCGGCCTGCAGTAGCGGCGGCCCCTAATTAAATGCCTGGCGGAAAAGCTCCATCTTGCAGGCCTGCGGAACTGCAAAAGGTCCCACAGGGCCCTGATCTCCTCCGGGTGCTCATTCCACCAGGTAGGGGCCCCCACTGAAAAGGCTCCGGCCCTGGTAATAGCTAGCTTGGCCTCCCTCGGGCCAGGGAGGGTCAGCCGATTTTGAGACCCAGACCGTAGTTCTCTCTGGGTATATATGGGGAAAGGCGGTCCCGTAGGTATGTCAGACCCTGGCCATATAGGGCTTTAAAGGTAAGAACCAGCACCTTGAAGCAGATTCGGTACGCTATTGGCAGCCAGTGCAGTGTCCTCAGCACAGGCTGGATGTGCTCCCATCTAGGGAGACCCATCAACAGCCTGGCTGCGGCATTCTGCACCAGCTGCAGCTTCCAGATCCATGACAAAGGCAGCCCCATGTAGAGAGCATTACAGTAGTCTAGTCTTGAGGTAACCATCGCATGGATCACTGTGGCCAGGTCAGTGCGATCAAGGAAGGGAACCAACTGCCTAATCAGCCTAAGGTGGTAGAAGGCCGACTTAGCAGTGGCCGCTACCTGGGCCTCCATAGTAAGGGAGGGATCCAGGAGCACACCCAGATTCCGAACCTCCGGCGCTGGCACCAATGGAGCCCCCCCGAAGGTTGGAAGTGGGATCCCCACCCCCGAACCGCCCCGACTCAGGCACAGGACCTCTGTCTTCGCTGGATTCAGCTTCAGCCGACTCAGTCTAAGCCAACCAGCCACAGCCTGCAAAGCCCAGTCCAGGTCTTTCGGTCTGGAGTCCAACTGGCCACCCAACATCAGATAGAGCTGGGTGTCATCAGCGTACTGATGACACCCCAGCCCATACCTCCGGGCAATCTGGGCAAGGGGGCGCATATAGATGTTAAATAACATCGGGGACAGCACTATTATCATGCCTCAAGGTAGGGACCCAAAACTCACAGAATCCTGTGGATTATCATATGGGTTCAATTGGGTGTGAGGACCTGCATTCAGATAAAAAGTATTCAGTGGTTGTTGAAAGGACTGTGGAGAATGTCTTAGGTACACTTCAAAAGCAACGTGTCAGTTCAAAAAGGGTATACTTTTGATGGTAGCCAAGCAGGTGGTAATAGCTGTGGGTGAAGAGAAAAGGAGGAGAGCAAAGTTTCAATATAAACTAATCCATCTCCTACAACTTTGACATAGGTATAGAAGTTGGTATAAAAACTCACCAAACTGTGAAATAAGGTGCTAAATTTGGATGATCATGATTGGTTCAATTTTGTTTGATGCCTTATTTATGTTACACTCTCCATTCAGCTGAAGTCGGTAGCAGCCTAACAAGACAAAGATCAGGAAGCCTGGACACCCAAGATACAGAAACCCAGGTAATATTAACCATTACTTGTTGGATTGAAAAAAAAAGGGTATCTTCATCTCTGAACAAATGTATACATTATTTTTCAACTGAAACATACAAAGAACTGAATGTATATGCCATGGGATCCTAGAATACCTTCCACTCACAGAAAGGGCTCCCCGCCACAGCTCAAGTCATCATTCTGACTTCTTCTCTTCCAGTCACATTTCTCTGCCACATAACTGTAGTGTCACATGACTTCCTGTCATATATTCACAGTTCAGTGTGGCCCATGCTGCCACTGAGGATTAAAGGTGGGTGGGTCTAGAATAGGGATGGGCAAAAACTGGGAAATGCAGTTCAGTTTATGTCTTGTGGCATGCCCGATTTGCAAACCAGGAACCATCACAAACTTTTAGGGGCTAAACAAACCAGTTTGGTTCATTAGGTTTGTGATGTGGTAGAATGTCCCCTCCCGGCATGCTAGAGACACCAAACACACAGGGGATCTCTAACTCTCCTCTACTTGCTTTTCAAGTTTGGTGAAAATTGAATTTATGAGGTTCACGTTACTGCCTCCCAAAGAAGGTGCCTTCATCCCCCATTGTTTCCAATGGAGGAAAAAACCAGCAAAAAAAAGGCAAGGCCAATATAAGCCCAGCAGAACAGAATCAAAGTCTCAGAGAATCAAAGTCTCAGAGAATCAAAGTCTCAGAGAATCTCTGGCATAGAAAATGAAGGGGGGGATTTTTGCAAGCCCAGCAGAACCACTCTCACTGGCAGTGCAAACCCAACAGGACTAAGGTCAAGCCAGAGAATCTCAGTAGAAACTGAAGTGGGGGGGCATTTTTGCAAGCCCAGCAGTACCAGTGCAATCAAAGAGTGCCCAGCATAATCCAGTGCCATTGTGGAAATGCCAGTTCAACAGGATAGATGTAGCACTCTAAGCAAGGGGAGGGTGGTTTGCAAGCTCAGCAGAACCCAGTGCAATGTACTGGTGCACAGTAGAACCCAGTGCCATTGTGGCAATACCAGCTCAACAGGACTGATGTGAAGTACAGAATCACTATCCAAGCAAGCGGGATTGCAAGCCCAGCACAACCAGTTCAGTGTACAGAATGCTCAGCAGAACCAAGCACCACTGTAGCAATGCAAGTAAAAGAGGACTAATGTAAAACCAGAGAATCTTTGCAGTACAAACTGACAGGGAATATTTTTTCAAGTCCAGCACAGCCAGTTCAATGTACAGAATGCGAAGCAGAACCCAGTGTCACTAATCTCAAAGCACAGTGTTACAAGAAATCCAAGCAGGGGTGGCTTTTGTAAGCCCAGCAGAACCAGTTACAGTGTTCAGAATGCCCAGCAGAACCCAGTGCCACTGGCATTGCAAGCTTAAAAGGACTGCAGACTGCTCTCATAGCAAAGTCACAACAAATCCAAGCAAGGGGGGGCGGATTTTGCAAGCTCTGTGCAAGAAAATGGGAAGGGAACACAAAGGAACCCTGGCAATTAGGGGGGGAAACCCTCTTGAAACTGACAATACTAGTTTAAAACTGATAACAGTGTTTCCAAGGCTGGAGAATTCCCCCCCCCCCTGATTGCTGTGAAGTTTATTAAACATTTTGTATCAGCTATGCTGCCATGATAGTTGAGGAGGCCATAGGCTTCCCTTTTTCTGTGTATTAATTACTGCTGCATTCCTTCTGTGCTTCTTCTATGCTGTAACGCTGTTATCTCTAAGCGGTGCAGGTGGTGTAGTGTCTGGGCCTGGGAAAACCGTGGGAGCGCTATCAGTTCCCAGCCTCGGCTCTAACGGTCTGAGGCTCCTTCTCCCGTGCTCGGGAATATGGCTAATTGGCCTATGGTGGGGGGGGGGGCATACGAATGCCCTATATCCCATTATGTTTGTAGGGGCAACGCCATTCTTAACCGTACTTCTGTCATCGCATCTATAGCTCTGCAATAAAGTATTACCTTTCTGATAAGCGTGTACTCAGTTGTTGGCTGTGGGTTCTGACATTTTGTCTAGTGGAGACTGTCTGGAAATATATCAGTTTATGAGTCGCCACAAGCCACCACAAACTGCTTGAAAGTTCGTGCCACTTAATCTGCCATGAACTTCAGTTCGGGAACCACAAACCAGCCAAAATTCATCAAGAACTTTAGTTCATGAGCTGGTTCATGCCCATCCCTAGTCTAGAAAGGCTGAAGTCCACTGCTACAAAGGCCAGTTGTGATTCTAGAATATCATGAGGGAATTACAACTATGTTTACCACCTTATCATGTTTAGAGTGGATTAGCCACAATAGCTAAATGGAACCTCAATGATGCCATCTGACGTGGCTTCATGGCAACATGAGGGTCCCAGGAAGTCTGATCACCTTCTCCGAGTCTCACCTCATCCCAGAATTTATTTCTAACACTGGCAGCTCCAGCTTCTGGAAGTAACAATGTTTTTCCTGGGTCAAGATTTGGTGAAAATTTAGACCGTGCTTCTGAGTCCGTAGGCTCTTTATATGTCAGCATTAAATCAAATATATATCTTGCTTTGTTAGCAGAAACTAAACTGAACCAAAGTTGTTGGGTGTTGTTGTGTTTTTTTGGAACCACCTAAAAATCCACCTTTGCTGCTAGTGTCCTTCAGCATGGCGCCATTATTGTCCAGTATTAATTCTAGTGCAGAAAGCACATTGCTCAGAATTTGCTTCTGGTTCTTTCAAAACAGCTAAGTATGTACAGATTGTGTTTGCCAGAGTATTTCATGTATTATTTATATGTATTTCTTTAGGGCATTAGCAAAGCTGGAAGCTCCCTTACCCAAACTTCAGACTCTACCATAGGTGTCATTCCATCAGTGACAGAAAGTGGTCTTTTTCGAACAGTAGAGGTAAGGCCTATAAGGTTTTACAGTCTCGGTGATTCATGTCTTGACGTTATAACTTTCCAGCGTTCTTTGTTCTTGCGGATTTCTAAATCAAAGTTTGTTTGTTTATTTATTTATTTATTTATTTATTATTTAGATTTTTATCCCGCCCTCCCCGTAGTCTCAGGGCGGCTTACACGGCATATCGCCGGTATAATACAACAATAAGAACATTAAAAATATTAAATAACATCAAATATTAAAACATCATACATTCAGAGCAGTATCTGGTGCTTATGGAGTAGGGAGCATTTCTTCATTCCCAGCTGGAAAATAGTATTATAGACAGGTGGGAGCAGAATTAGACCACCTGCAATCCACCAGATTTGTAGAGAGTGCTGTTCTATTATAATTCAGATTAAGTCGATGTGGCTTTTCTGATGGTGCTTCAGTAAAAAAAGGGGGGGGATACGTGACATTTTTGGAACCAAAAGACTGAATTTTTTACATCCTAGCTTTTTCCAGCACTGCACAATGCCTGAACTGCACATGCAGCAAACTGCGATGGCAGACTCCAGAGATAGTAGAATGGATGATGCCACTTTAGACTGCAGGTGAGAACATTTTTCCATGTTCCCCTATGTTTAATAAAAATAATAATTAAAAAAACCCTCCTTGCAAGTGGAAGCCAGCATGCAAAAAGCTAGGCTAGAACCTTTCTCCTTCCTGTGCTTTATTCGTAGGCTGTTTTTAAACGTGGGGAAAAGGAGCATGAAGAAATGACTTCTCCCACTTGCAGTCTGAGGTAGTGCAGTTCTTTATTACATCTGGATTCTACCACTTCATCCTGCTCAGCATGTAGGCCTGGCCTTTCATTTTAGAATGAGACAATCAACTTACTTTTTCCATCCCATTTTGATGGATACCACAGACCCAGACACAAGTCCAGGTGATGTGATATTTTTTATCACACTTAGGCCTGTTCTGGAGTGACTTTTCAACATTCGTTTTAAAAGACTGGGCAACACCAGAGGTCCTCTGGAGGGCAAACTCAGGAAACAGCCGCTGCCCATCCCCCTTTTACTCATATTCAGGTAAACAGGGTACTGAGGTGGTATGTTTATTTGCTTCGTTGAAGTGGCTTCCCAAAATGGCTTTTACCTCCTACCTATGTTCTGTACCTATGAGCTGCAGTGGTTCAAGTGGTTAAGACGCTGAACTGCAGGCTGTGGAAGGTCGGTAGTTCAGCAGTTCGAGACCCGAGTGCCGCATGACGGAGTGAGCTCCCGTCTCTAGTTCCAGCTCCTGCCAACCTATCAGTTCGAAAGCAAGAAATTGTAAGTATATAAATAGGGACCACTTCGGTAGGAAGGGAACAGCGTTCCGTGCGCCTCGGTGTTTAGCCATGCCAGCCACATGACCATGGAAATGTCTTCGGACAGCGCTGGCTCTCCGGCTTTGAAACGGAGATGAGCACCACAACCCTAGAGTTGGATTCGACTGGCTTTCGAGCAAGGGAACCTTTACCTTTACCTTTATGTTCTGTCAGTATTTACATATTTGATATCAGACCATATAGACATCCATAAGGAAACCCCATATTTCAGTAAACTTCAAATGGGGCTCCATCGGGGCATTTCCCCCAGCAGGACAATAGGAATTTGCTTGGTGGGGGGGGGGGGAGAGCCTTCAGCTCTCTGAGTGTCTCCTGCTTTTCTTGAACTATATTTCTAAATAAAGATCTAGACTCTGGACCTATTTTCAGCCTGTTTTATTTCTGGGAACCTCCCTGTTGCCATAGTGAACTTTGGTATACGTAGGCTGCGGTCCTTTTTTAAAAAGTTATTTAATCGTATTTCTATTTATTTATTTATTTATTGTTTCAATTTATATCCCGCCCTTCCCGCGAACAGGCTCAGTGCGGCTCACAACAATAAATACAATCTAAATCAATACAATAATTGTAATACAATAAAACCAGTTTAAAATTTAAAGTAACTAAGGGTGCGGTCAGACGGCGTGCTGGGAGCGGTTTAAACTGCTCCGGCCCCGATGCGTTTTTTTTTAACCTAGAGAATCGCAATCACACTCACCTCCTTGCTCCAGATCGCCGCGCAGCCACATCGCTCCCCACTGTCCACAGGCCGGAGTGTACGTTGGTGTTGTTTTTCTCTCTCTCTCAGTTTGGGCATGCACACAGGCAGCCATCTAGAACTAAAATTTTCACGTGTGCACAGAACAGCGATTTCCACTTTAACCCGACTGCTGTAACACTTCCCTTTAAATGTTTACCCCGAAAATGGCCTCTGTGAGATCCCGAACTTGTCTAAATGCTAAAACTAGGCACCGTTTAAACATTGTTTTTAATAACGCGGTGGCAGAGCTCCGCCTATGCACACACCGCCAACGCTTAAAAAAAATGGCAGGCAAAAAGCGGAAGCCTCGGGCAGCTTTCAAGCGGGGAGGGGGACTCAACCGGAAATGGCTTGACACCGGAGGAGCGATCACACGGGGAAAATGCGGCTGGAAACAGAGAATCAGGAAAACACCACTTGGGGACCTGGTAACAAAATACTCCGGTTTAAAGGGGATTTGAGCCAGAAAGCAATGGCAGCGGACGGGAGGCAGATATTGACTGTGTGATCGCGCGTATAAAATCCGTTTCTGAACTGGCACAACACCAGATCAAATGGCGCGTCTGAACATACCCTAAGATAAGAACATAAGAGAAGCCAATGTTGGATCAGCCCAATGGCCCATGCAGTCCAACTGAAAAGTACGCAGACGGAGAGTGATTTCAGCAAAGCGTACTTTATTCGATCAGGAACAAGACAACTTTGGCCGGCTCGCAGGTCAACTTATATCCCCCGAGAAACCGCCACCCAAAACACACCCCTACTTCCCAATAGGTTATTTACAGTGGCCGAGAGTCTCATAGGCTCTCGGCCAGGAACCTAGCCCCCTGATTGGAGCGGGCTAGGATCCGCATAGTCCATTGTCTCTTGGAGCGAAGCTCAACGTTTGTCTCTGGACTTGTCTGGACTTGTCTGGACTGGATACATTACACCCACACTGTCACACAGTGGCCAAAAAAACCAAGTGCCATCAGGGGGTCCACCAGTGGGGCCAGGACACTCGAAGGCCTCCCACTGTACCCCCCCCAAGCACCGAGAATACAGTGCATCCCTTGCCCCAGATCGAGAGTTCCTATCTATACCTTGTGGCTAATAGCCACTGATGGACCTCTGCTCCATATGTTTATCTAATTCCCTTTTGAAGCCGTCCATGCTTGTAGCCGCGACCACTTCCTGTGGCAGTGAATTCCATGTGTTAATCACTCTTTGGGTGAAGAAGTACTTCCTTTTATCTGTTCTAACCCGACGGCTCAGCAATTCCATTGAGTGCCCATGAGTTCTTGTATTGTGAGAAAGGGAGAAAAGTACCTCTTTCTCTACCTGCTCTATCCCATGCATAATCTTATAAACCTTGATCATGTCACCCCTCAGTCGATGTTTCTCCAGGCTAATCTCCAAGCTAAAGAGCCCCAAGCGTTTAAACCTTTCTTCATAGAGAAAGTGTTCCAACCCTTTTATCATTCTAGTTGCCCTTTTCTGCACTTTTTCCTATGCTATAATATCCTTTTTGAGGTGTGGTGACCAGAACTGTACATAGTACTTCAAATGAGGTCGCAGCACTGATTTATACAGGGGTATTATGATACTGGCTGATTTGTTTTCAATATTTAAAGTGAGTAGTGCAATGCAATTAATTCCAGTTACTACAGCCGGGAAAAATAAGTGGGACGATGCAGAGCCGTGATGGTCTCATGTAGCAACAATAGGGAAGCCAGCCGGTAGGTGCCCGCTATGCCAGTCTCCCCCGCAACTAGCTCAGGGAGGATTACAACCATTCAGAACAATTACAAACAATTAAAATACCATACAACATTAAAATACAACAATATCTAATAACATCACTCCTAAGATGGCCAACAAACCCCAAGGCCCCGGAAGTGCCTGTAGTACATGCTCAGAATATGGATCAGGAAGTTGGGTAGGTGGACATTTAATTTAATTTTACCTGGATAAACGTGAGGATGTTCTTAACACGCAAGTGGGACACCCCAAGTGCTGAGGGTCACTCACAGGTAGGCCATTTAGGTAATGTTTTGAAGAACTGGCTGTGATCTTGAGAAATCCAGGACCAGAACAAAATTAATTAACAAAAATAAAATTTTTTAGAAAAACCAGACAAATTAAGAAATGTCAAAAGAGGAATACAACGCAATCCTAACAATGGTTACAGGTGTAACTGTTTAGGATTGCACTGTCAATATGGTATTCTAATTGGTACACTGACTATACAGCAGACATTAAATATCACAAACCAGAGCATAATTCTTAACCTTTTAAAACATTTATATCTTACCAAATCATACACCAGCTAACCCACTGACTGAATCAGTCAGTGTTATGATTTCAGTGAGAAGAAAGCTCAGAGAAAAATCAAAGGCAGTTTTGGAGAATTTTTGGAAATACCGATTCAGGAACATTTTTAAGAACTGTCATCTCTTGAATGTTTTACACATCTTCAGGATGTTTATTAAATGGTTCCCATTTCCTTTGGATTTTGTATCTCGTCACACACCTGGTTACATGTTTCCCAATGTCCTTTTTCACATTTGTTCCTCTGGTTACATTTCTCTTATTTGTTGTCTTCGAGCTGCTTCACATGTTTGGGACACAGAAACTCACATTTGCTGTTGTTGTTCAGTCACACAGTTGAGTCCGACTCTTCGCGACCCCATGGACCAGATCACGCCGGGCCCTCCTGTCTTCCGTCGTCCTCTGAAGTTTGCTCAATTTCATGTTCGTTGCATCTGTGACACTGTCTAAGCATCTCATCCTTTGCCGTCCCCGTCTTCTTTGACCTTCAGTCTTTCCCAGCATCAGGGTCTTCTCCAGTGAGTGCTCCCTTCTCATTGGGTGGCCAAAGTATTTGAGCTTCAGTTTCATTATCTGGCCTTCCAGGGAACAGTCAGGGCTGATTTCTTTTAGGATTGTCTGATTTGATCTTCTTGCAGTCCAAGGGACTCTCAAGAGTCTTCTCCAGCACCATAGTTCAAAAGAATCTATTCTTCGGCTCACATTAGCTACATCATTTCCCCCACACACAGCCGTCTGTGAAATATGGAAGAGGGATGTTTTTTAAAACATTCATTAAGCATCTGCCAGGGAGTCTTCAATATTTGGTTTTGACAATTTGGATGGATTATCCATTTGTTCCAGCTCCATATTCCAGCAGTTGCTTAGCTGCATCCTAAATCCTGATGCTTTTCCATGTCTCTTCAAAATCTGCAATTTTCTACTGCAAGCAACCTACTTTTTCATATGTGATCCTGTATACAGTTTCCTGTCAGATATACATTTTTTCCTGCATCATTTTGTTTTTTTCAGCTTCACAAATAAACATTTGATCATACATTCACAAATGTACTAAGGTGGCATAGTTATCACATACTTGATTTCTTCACTTTTAGTATTTAGTCTAGCCTCTCCTTTTCATATCAGGCAAGTGTGCCGAGTTTATCATTTATTTTCTTGAGCCTACTGAATTGTGTGTGTATTTTTCAGTGTTCTGATTGCACTGGATTTGTTTCTGAGTTTTGCCTTGAACATATGGTGAGGTAATCGGATTAAACCTTGGGGGGAAGACTGGCTTGGCTTCAAATGTAGTGCCAGTTCATTGCTATGGCCATGTTCAACATCTTTTCTTCTTCAGTGCCAGAATTCTGTATTCATCTTAGCTAAATTCAGCTTCACGTCCCTGTATTGTTTTAGGTAGTGACTGAACACTCATATTTTTCAGTGCATGTAGTGTGAATTATGGGATCCAGCTTGGTTCTCATGTGTCACATTCAGACTGATTTTTCAAGGTTCATAGTTGTTGCAGAAATCCCTCCCTTCTAATGTCTGACTTCTGAACTGCTGGACAAGACTTAATAGTCAGCTGTGTAACCAAAACAGCATTTAAAATTCTTTCTGCTTCTGTTGTTTCAACTGATCTGGGATGATTTGATTTTGCCAAGAATTTGAACGTGTTAATGTTTTGTAAATATACTGCTTTTCCAAGGTTATATTTTGCTGTTTTGTCTCTCAAAGAACTAACTTTTACAAAGCTTTCTGACATTTGATCTTCAGGATTAGAAATGCACATGATTTCTGTGAGCTTAAGGTTAGTACCTACGGGGGAGGGCGGAGTACAAATCTGAATAATAAATAAATACTCAAAATAGTAAGATATCCAGCTTTCAGTTTTGGAAGACTCACATCTCATACTTTCATACTCCTTGCAAAAACATTGAAAATATTATTGTAATTTGAGTGGGTGGTGGTTAAAAATCTGTTCCTATATTATTGTCTAAAAATAAAACTATGCCCTGACCTGGATAGCCAAGCTAGCCTGATTTCCTCAGATCTCAGAAGCTAAGCAGGGTCGGCCCTGGTCGGTATTTGGATGGGAGACCAGCAGGCAATACCAGGGTCACAACACAGAGGCAGGCAATGGCAAACCCACCTCTGGACATCTCTTGCCTTGAAAACTGTAGGGGGTCACTAGACGTCGGCTGTGACAGGCCCAAATCAAACAGCACCTTCACCAGGATGTGACGGTCAGTATTCCACTCTAACTCTATAAAAGGTAAAGGTCCCCTTGCTCGAAAGCCAGTCGAGTCTGGCTCTAGGGTTGCGGTGCTCATCTCCGTTTCAAAGCTGAAGAGCCAGCGCTGTCCGAAGACGTTTCCGTGGTCATGTGGCCGGCATGACTAAACACCAAGGTGCACGGAACGTTGTTACCTTCCCACCGAAGTGGTACCTATTTATCTACTTGCAATTTCTTGCTTTCGAACTGTTAGGTTGGCAGGAGCTGGAACTAGAGACGGGAGCTCACTCCATCATGTGGCACACTCGGGTCTCGAACTGCTGAACTACTGACCTTCCACAGCCTGCAGTTCAGCGTCTTAACCACTTGAGCCACCACAGCTCCTTCTAACTCAATAAAGTTTTTTTTCCTAACTCTATAAAAGACCCAAAATGCTGGAAAGGCTGTGGGCAGACAGGTACATTCCTTCATTGTTGGTGGTTGTGCCCTAAGGTGAAATCTTTTTGGAACACTATACTTCCAATCATAGAGAAAATCATTGGATTACAAATTCCGAGATCTCCGTAATCCATACTCCTAAACCACTGGGAGATCGCTTCTTTCACCTATTACAAGTCCGAACTTACCTCACTACTGTTGATTGCAGCTAAAACATTAATAGCTCGATTTTGGAAAACACACAAAAAAACCTCCGATACTTAAACAATGGTTCTCGAAGATATGGGATAGCATAGCAACGGACAAGATAGCATCACAATTATACAAGGTAGCACCACATGGTTGCCCTTGTTTGTGAGCCGCCCTGAGCCCGTTCGCGGGGAGGACGGGATAGAAATGCAATAATAAATCATAAATAAATAAATTATTAGCTGCTGAAAACCCCTCAAAAATCTGTTTTCGCGGAAAAATGGTTTGCATTGCATAAGGCCAATGTTTTACCTGCTTAAATATACAGACTTTTTGTCTTAATAATGGGTTTTTACAATGTTGTTAAAAGACTTATCTTGAACACTATGATTGATACACTGTACAATTTATATTAACCGTTGGGAAAATTTATTGTTCTTAAGTTGCAAAATTTGAACGTTTGGAAGTAAAGTTATAAAAAAAGGACTGAGCTTGACCCCCTCAGTGGGCCTGTCCAGGGCGATTTTTGGGCAGGAACGCACAGGAACGGAGTTCCGGCTGGCTCCCAAGTTGGCCACGCCCAGCAGGAACTGATTAGCATAATAGGCCACACCCAACAGCAGATACTCATTAGGATTGGCTACATTAGGGGTGTGTGGCCTAACATGCAAAGGAGTCCCTGCTACAAAAAAGCCCTGGGTTTTGACAACAAACAAGGTAAACAGAATAACAAGCAAAAGGTGGGTGTGGCTGGATGAGCACACTTCTGGTAATGTGGGGGTGTGGCCTAATGTGCTAATGAGATATGCTGTCAGGGGTGTGGCTGGATATGCTAATGAGTTTCTGTTGTTGGGTATGGCCTATTATGTTAATGAGTTCCTGCTGGGCTTTTTCTACAAAAAAAGCCCTGGGCGTGTCCAAGCAGGTGCTTGGGTGGCTTGACTGGAGAACCAGCCTTGTTCATCATCATTGCCCTGCTAGCTGTTTTTCTCTTCCAAAACTGACCTGCCTTGCTGTTTCCCCCCCAATGGGGCAAAGATACAGGCCCCTGTATCTTTTCCCTCATGAAGAATACAGCAGCTGTAACTGCAGGCTCAAACGAGCTCTGTCTGTGTGTGTGTGTGTGTGTGTGTGTGTGAGAGAGAGAGAGAGAGAGAGAAACACAATGGAGGAAAGCTGCACAGAGCTCTTCATGACATACGGTTTGGCTCAAGTGGACCAAACAAGCATTTTGTATTATAAACAGTCATTGTTCTTTATTGCCGCACGATGCCATTTGCTTAGAAGGGCCTTTTTGGTTACTTCCGACTGCAGGCAGAGGCAGTGTTGTCTGTGCCTTCATTAGAACAGATGCTAGACAGTGAGCAAGACAAGGCTTGGAAAAGCCCAGAGAGTCCGAGTACAGAGAGGGAGTTCTTCCACCCCATCTACAAAGGAGCAGTCAACGCTTTCTGCATTCAGCTCTTCTGTATCAAGGAGCAACATGAGACAAGGTGAGCACGGAACAAAACCTCGACGTTTAATTTCATCAGGTTAAAGGGGCTTTCTTTTTATATTCTTATTTCCTTTTAATTCTCACTAGATGTGTACAGTATTGTGTAGTGGTTAGAGTATCAGACTAGGATTTGGGAGGCCCAGGTTGTAATCCCCACTCTGCCATGGAAACTTGCTGAGTTACCTTGGGGCCACTCACATACTCCCAGCCTAGGGGTGTGCAAGGGGGGGAAATCAGCTTTTTTCGGATTTGGTTATGATTTTTTTTTTGGTAGAAGAAGAAGAAGAAGAAAAGATTGGATTTATACTCCACCCTTCACTACCCAAAGGTGTCTCAGAGCGGCTTACAAACTCCTTTCCCTTCCCCTCCCCACAACAGACACCCTGTGAGGTAGGTGGGGCTCAGAGAGCTCTTGACAGAAGCTGCTCTTTTTCAAGAACAGCTGTGCCAGAGTTATGGCTTGCCCAAGGTCATCCAGCCAGGTGCAAGCGGAGGAGTGGGGAATCAAACCCGGTTCTCCCAGATTAGAGTCCGCGCACTTAACCACTACACCAAACTGGCCCGAATATACCTGAATACAATACATTAATGGTATTAGTATCCGGAAATATTCGGGAATACTGAAAAAATTCAGCTCCATTATATCCTATGCAGTCAGTGGCAAAATCGTCTAAGGAGTATTCAGTGGGCTGGGGGGGGGGAGTTTGAGGTAGAGGCACCAAATTTGTACCATAGCTGCTGGAGCCTCTCCCCAAAAGGTCCCCCAAGTTTGGAAAATATAGGACCAGGGGGTCCGATTTCCAAGGTGAGCACAGATGGTTTCCAATGGTGGGGGGGGGGGGGCGGGCGGGTGGGGGGGGGGGAGCAGGCAGATAAAACAACACCCTAGCAGTTTCTCCCAGAGAATACCTGCAGTAGAAACTAGGTGTAGTGTGGTGTGGTGTGAGAGGGCATGTTCGCAAGGCCAGCAGCAGAACCAGTGCAATGTGCCCACCAGAACCACCCCCCAGGCCCAAACCCACCAGCCCACAACAAAATGAGAAAAGTTTTAAAAAACTGGCCCTAATCAGTCAAACCAGTGGATGTCTTCAGTCTTCTGTTCCACAGCAGGCAGGATCTTGATCCAAAGTAATCCAAGCAGCAGGAAAGTTAGGCTCAGAGCAGTAGCTGAAGAAGAAGCCAGCCACACAATCTCCAACCAAAGTTCTCTCAGCAGGACTGGA